ATCGAACCCAGTGCGTCACACATGCTAGGCAAGCACTCTACCACTAAGTTACAATCCCAGCCCCCCTAAAATTTTAACATAGTTAGACATTAGGAAAAAGCAAATTAAAACTACAGTGCTATAGAACTACACCATTCAGAACACCTGGAATCAGAACACTAGGTGTTGGCAAGGATGAAGAGCAACTTGGAGCTTTCATATAAGGATTTCAAATGAGACAACCATTTGGGGAAACAAATTGATAAGTTTCTTTTAAACTTAACAAATGGGCAATTCTAATCTTACCTAACCAAAAAGAAATAAAAAAACATCAACAACAAAGATTTATACATGTATGTTTACAGTATTTTATTCATAATTACTAAAAAACAAAATGTCCAAATGGTACCTATCCAACAGTTAAATGTGGTATATTCATACCCCTTAATACTTCAGACAACCATCAGGTTGATCTCAAAATCATTATGCTAAGCAAAATAAACCATATAATTCTTTTTATACAAAATTCATAAAGATGAAAATAATCCATAGTGACAAAAAGAATTAACAATGGACATCTGGGGGTATTATTAATTGCAAAAATAGATGAAGAAACTTTTTGGGGTGGTAGATATTCTTTATATTGATTATGACAGGTCATTACACAATGGTATAAATTAGTTGGAACTCGTTTAATTAGACATTTAAAATTGAATCACTGTCTTATATAATTATACCTCAATAAGTTTTATTTTTTTAAGTGAAGGTAAAAATAAAGTGAGATAGAATTTAAGTTCTACTATAAACCACAGCTGAAAAATCTGGAAACTACCTATTGGAGATTTTAATTATTATTTTTTTTTAAAGAGAGAATTTTTAATATTTTATTTTTTAGTTATCGGCAGACACAACATCTTTGTTTGTATGTGGTGCTGAGGATCGAACCCGGGCCGCACGCATGCCAGGCGAGCGCTCCACTGCCTGAGCCACATCCCCAGCCCGATTTTAATTATTTTTAAAGTGATAAATGATTGCTGACTATGGAGAAGTAGCAGAATGTCATTCCCTTCCATCTTGCTCGCTTTCTACATCATGATTTTCAGGGGAACCAAAAAACATCAAAGTAGAAGAAAGACTATATGACACTGTTATCACTGTCACATCTACCAATTGAGACAGCTTCTAAATTTTCCAAGGGCAGCTAGGGTGTTAGAGGGAGTCAGCTTGCTGTCCTGAAGCTTGATGAACCTTTGTGTGTTTTTGTAGAATTTGGTGAAAAAAGGCCAAAATGCAAGTGTCTGCTTAGTCCAGGTCTGAAGTTTTAAAAATAGTAGAAAATAGTAGCAAATTAACATGAACCTAGAAGCTTTCACAAATAGATGAGACTGATAAATCAGCCAGATGGTGTACTGCAGTATTTGAATTTCAGCAAAGTATTTGAATAATATTGCTCCTGGTTTTTTTCTGGGGAGGGGAGTTGTTTGATTTTTGGTTTTGGTTTTGGTTGTTGTTTTGGTTTGGTTTGACTTTGGTTTTGTTGATTTTCCTTTGGTACTAAGTGTTGAACCCAGAAATGCTCCACCACTGAGCTAGCTACATCCCCTTCCCTTTTCATTTTTTATTTTGAAACAAAGATTCACTAAGTTGCCAAGGCTGGCCTCAGACTTGTGATCCTCCTGCCTTAGCCCCCTCCATTCACCGGAATACAAGCATGATCCACCACACCCAACTTTCATTTTCTACTTAAAGATAAAACCAAGAGATATAACACAAATGGCAGGACTTAACTAGATTCATAACTGGATAAACAATCATACCTGAAAGTAGCAAGTTGGAAGATTTCTGTCTTTATTCCTCTCTTGTGAATGTGATGAGTATATTTAGCAGTACCTAGATGAGGACATCATTAGAATGCCAATCTTTTAAAACCTATTTTAGTGAAAACTAAAATTTTAATGTGGGGTTTTAGGCCATATCTACAAAATATAAAATTTCATCCAGGTGTAAAGAACAGAAGTATGCAAAAGTAGGAGGAGGAAGCATTTTTTAATTATTAATATTTTTTAGTTATACATGGACACAACATCTCTGTTTTTGTTTATTTTTATTTGGTGCTGAGGATCAAACCCAGTGAGCGCCTCACATGTGTGAGGTAAGTGCTCTGCCACTGAGTCACAACCCCAGCCCAAGGAGGAAGCATTTTATAGGAGCAGTTTAAAAAGATAATTCTAGTGTTGTAATTAAACCTGAGAGTCCATTGAGTGACAATGGCTCACTTAAATTTTTTATGCTCACCACAAGGGACAGATGAAGATGGGAATCTCACTCTAGTTTGTGTTAGATCAAATCTGAAATGCTTACTTAATTTGAGGCATCATCTTGTGCTCTGAAAAGAATGTTGAAAAACTTAATTTTATGTAAGAACTTAAAAGGAATATACAGAAAACAAATTTTACTAGATAATTTTGCAGATCTAAGAATAATGATTCTATTGGTAGACATTTTTTCTTCCAGATAAGAGATTTCCTAAGAGAATTCTGTCAAGAGAATGTGATATTTAGTTGATACCATGTTTGTCTTTCCTAGTATTTTAGAAAACCCATAACATTTGTAAACCTGTAACGTTCTCCTTAATGTCTTAAAAAGTTCAAAGAGAGGGCTAGTGGAATTATCCTAAATAATGCATAGATTTCTGTAGCCAAAGTCAGTTTATTCTTGTTCCCTTTCCTACCTGTCCTCCAACTGACTATGTGGTTGTTTATTTATTTGTTTTTGGCATCTTCCATTATAATGGGTCATTGCCTAGGAAATTATTTTAGTGTCAACCTATATAGAATTATTTATGATACAATTAATGTGAAACTTTTTATTTTATAGGGTTGGGGTATGGTGTGCATCCCTTTTTTTCTAGTTGGGGAAATAGCTTCTTTTCCTTCCAGCCTTCCATTATACAGACCTGGACTTTATTGTCGCTTTAGTTGCAGAAATATTATAGAAAGAAAATTATTACATGAGATAAAAATTAGGAAAGCAGGGGGTATAAGGTGATGGGGTATAAGGTGATGCTATTTCAAATTGCAGCCATTTGCAACTTTGGTCTTTAATACTTTATGCTGTCCAGCTTCTACTGGCAATAACCACTAGTTCAACAATCACATTTATATTTTGTTAATTATCTATTAAATTCCTGGACAGAAATTTTTCCTCCTCAGCTCTTCACTTACATTTCTCTTTTATTCTAGTTCTATTGTTTTGCATTGAAAGGGACACCTTTATCAGGCTGGGGGTGTAGCAGAGTGGTAGAGTACCTGCCTAGCATGCACAAGGTTCTGGGTTCAATTCCTTCTACTGCCCCCCAAAATAAAAAGCATCTTTATCTGCACTCCTTTTAACTTCATCATGCCTCCATTTTTGTGTGTATCTCCCATTGGTTTTGTTTGTTTCATCTCCCAGGAGAAGGAACCATTTTCAAAGACGAACACCTTTGCAGCACACTAGACCCTAGGGCTCTTTGACCTAGCTCCACCGACAACAACATCATCATTTACCCCCTTTCTTTCTCATGGAGTCAGGTTCTCCCCATCTTGAAAAAGCTTTTGATTAGAACACATTTATTTCCATCTGTTTTTAGCTTTCCATGTTACTACAGAACTTTTCAAGCAGATGGTACCAATAATTGACATCAGATTTTCTTTCAATGGAAAAGTGACAGTATGGTTTAGCAGAACAACACTCACCCTACAAAACAAGAAAAGTTTTATATTGTGGTGTATGCTGTAAATGATAGAAATAGTGTGAGATTAGAAGTAATTGGAGGAGAAAGAATTACTTTGAATAAATAGTAATTTAAAATGAAAATTTTGTTCAAAAACTTAGTTTTAAAATCCTGATGACTGGGAGAATGAGGAAGTTTTAAATAAAGACCTGAAAACATGAAGAGTCTCAATTATTTGGAAGTCTTCTATTTTTAGGTGTCCATTACATGATTTTGATCATATTATTTGGATTTTAATTTTTTATTTTAAAGCAGAACTCATTTCTTAATGGTCATTGTTAGATTTCAGAAGTCTCATCTGTTTTTTCCAGAATTAAATTTGAGTGGAGTTTATATATATATCCTATTTACAGTTGATTCAACAGATATATTGAATATTTAACATACATGCCAGGTCTTATATTAGGCAGTGTAGATAAATGGAAATAAATTAATCAAAACGCTTTCCCTCAATGAACACAACTAAAGCAATTTGTGGCGGTACCGTAGATGATCAACTTTAAGTTAGTTTTAAAATAGATCCACTGTGGTCATTATAGAGGAAGTCTGCTCCTCACTAGTTTCAGTAAGGTCCATTCACTGGAATACAGGCATGAACCACAACACCCAACTTTCGTATAGTTTCAGTAAGGTCCTTTAAGAATATATCATACCACCTTTAAAAATAGTTGTAATTTACCAAACTTTTACATTATGGTGGAGTTTGCATTCTAAATAGAAAGCAAACATAGACACATTAAAAAAATAAATAAATCCAGCTATTAAAATAATTACTAAATAAATTGAACAATGAAAGATCACTTTCAGTTGGATTAATCATAGGAAAGCTTCACTTTGGAGTTAGAATTTGTGTTCCATCTTAAAGGACAAGTTTAAATATGTGATAAATGAAAGCTGATTCGGAGAGATGGGTACAGGTGGGAAGCATTGAATGTCAAAGCGTATTTATAGGAAATTAATAAATAGGCTTCACAGGGTTGAAAGGTTTGTATTTGTAACTAGTAAAAGATAAAGTGAAGTCTTTAAATATAAACAAGATTTGGGCTGTAAATAATAGTGATATGTTTCAAAAATCCTAAATTCATTTATAGTCAACTAATTTATGTATAAAGAAGTTATCACAATGTACAGATTTTAATTGTATCGTGATTCTAAATAAATATTTATACCCCTAAGTATGTTCTGTAGATTCTGAGGCCAGAGTCCTTTAGCCTTACTCAGGTTTAAATGATGTTTTGTTTTTCAGTTACTTACACGCCAAGTCAATCATCCACAGAGACCTCAAGAGTAATAGTATCCTTCCTGAAATTTGTCCGCGAAGTTTGAAAACATCCTGACTTCTGCATTTTGTCTTCACATTATGTAAAAACAGTTTTCATGCTAAATTCAGTATACTGTAAAGAATATTAATAAATCAGCTTGCATGAGAGTATAGTAGAGAAGGACATAATAGCCTGCTTTTGGTTTCTGAATGATTGAGCACTATAAGAAAATCTATCTAAAGTCTTCATAATAGAAGGACTTTTTTTATTGCTTGCTTACATTCTATCCACACTATAAAACAGATCAGTTTATAGCTATGTACTAGTTTCTTTTACCCCTCTGCCCTTGTTCAGGAGTAGTTGAGATCTAATGGAAGGCTCTAAATTACAAAGCAGTGAGATGAGAAAAAAAATTCTTTTTCCGTAAGCCCAGTCTCACACCCTGCCTGCTGGCATCTTTATTCCAGTGAAGAGCCTTTATAGATTCACCAGAAGTGCTAAAGTTTATCTGGGCCTACATGATCAAAATCAAATGGGAAAGTTTTTAGAGCTCCCGAAGGCTTTAAGAAAGCATCACCTCATCCTTGTACATTTTAAACCCCAAAAATTTTAAAAATAGGTTACTTAGGTTAAATACAACTAATTATTGTTTAAAACCTTTTTAATCAACTTTAGGAAATATGAAGTACTATACTTTATTAAAGACTATCATATTACAGAATTATAGAAACTAGATCTCTTACCTAAAATTTTCATAATGTTTGCTGTAAAAGGAGAATTGAGATCTATTGTTTTCCTTTACTTACTACACCTCAGATATATTTCTTCATGAAGACCTCACGGTAAAAATAGGTGATTTTGGTCTAGCCACAGTGAAATCTCGATGGAGTGGGTCCCATCAGTTTGAACAGTTGTCTGGATCCATTTTGTGGATGGTAAGAATTGAGGCTATTTCTCCATGGATTACATTTTTGGAACCTGATTTGCTGCTGAGTAACTAGAAAGTCATTGCAGGTTTCAACTATCGTATTTTCATAGTTCCCAGTGTTTGGAAAAAATCAATGTTTTATGTAAATAATTTTAACTATTTTATCTTTAAAAAGAATATACAAAGTCAGTTTCACTATATTTTAAACAAAAATATATTTTATAAACAATGTTTAAAGTTTATTCAGAATTGTCCGTTTAAAAATATTTTGTGTTCAAAATGTCCTATGTGCACTGTTCAAAAAAAAAATAGGTTGCAATTTAAGGCAGGTGTGTTCTACAGCCATAATTGTGGTTTTGCTAAGAAAACTCTTCCTTTTAACAAAGAGGCTATTTTACAATCTTACTTGAGCTTAAACTGGAAAGTTACTTCCTTCAGACTGGAAAGAACAGTATGATTATGGGGCAGCTGGGAGAGGAAAGGCAAGAGAAAAAAATTGGGGAATTTTTAAGTATTAGCCTTATGCTTCTTTGCATAACTTATTTTCTCTTTCTTTATTCTTATTTTTGCTTTGTTGAAAAGAAGAAAGAGAAGTTCTAAAAGAAGGGAACAAAACTTCTGTGCAGTTACTGCAGCAGATAGTTAATCTCAGCAACTCAGGAGACTGAGACAGGAGGATTGAAAGTTCAAGGCAAGCCTCAGCAATTTAGCAAGGCTCCAAGCAACTTAGGGAAACTGTCTCAAGATTGAAAAATTATAAAGGGCTGTGAATGTAGCCCAGAGTGGGTTCAATCCCCAGTGCCCCCCAAAATGTATAGGAATCATACTATATAAATCAGCAGTTCTCAAAAGGATCCCTAAGACCTTTCATTGGGAGGAACCACAATAATCCCTTTGTGAGACCAGATTTTCTTCTTATCCTCCGATCAAAATAACACATAGCAACATATTGAAATGAGAAGCAAGGGCAAGGGGTGTCATTTGATTGTAGAGTGCCACCCAGTATATGCTGGTTTGGATCCCCAGAGCTGCAAGAACAAAAGGAGAGAATGATTGAAAAAAGAAGCAAATAGAATCCACCTGGTTGCTATTAAGCCTGATATCAAAGAATCACAGTACTATTCTCACTAACCTTTATTTTTTTAAATATTTTTTATTAAAAATGGGTGTTCTGTGTTGTCATTAGTGGTTATTATTTTTAGTATTTAAATGAATTAGTCAATATTTTAAGTTTCTTTGTTAAGTTTTAATATGATAAATAAGCCACAGATACAATCCACATAAACAAAAACTCTTTAGGGTCTTTAATAATTTTTAAGAATGAAAACAAGTCCTAGGACCAGCAAGTTTGAAAACTGCAGCTCTAAGCTAAATACAGGTATCCCAGAAGTCTCAGTGTAATTTTAAGCTTTAAATAATTTAATATGCATTAAAACTTCCGGGACACTCTGCCAGAAACAGAAAAGTTTTGAGGGCTTCTGAAGCTGTATTTGCCAAAATTCCTCAAACTATATGTAGCAGTGCCCAAGAAGGGAATTCCAGGGTAAGATTCCAAGTTTATCAAGATAGGCATAGGGTTAAATTGAGCTATGATTTCTTATGACAGTACATGGAATTAGGGCAAGTGGCAAGGTGGAAGAGAAGACATTGGACTTTAATATTAGAGTCAGGAGATCTGTATTCTAGTAGTACTCTGGCCATTAACTTTCAGGTTTTTTTAACCTCCTCTTACTCTCTCCATCTACAGTGTTGAGTTGGACTAGTGAATTTCTGAGGCCCTTTCTAAAATTCAGTAATTGTAGTTAGCTGTTTTTAAAAAATTATTTAATATATGTTTAATGGTTTTAATTAATAATTAGAAATATGAGGCTAATTAATAATTATATTTGGATTATGATTATAATTGGATTTCAGGACCCTTTAAAGTATATGCCTATAACAAAAATGGCAGTATATCCTAAGATGATAGGCAGAAACGGATTTTTAAGTGCTGAAATTGCAGAACCTAAAAAACAAACCATGCACAATTTTTAAAGGTATGTTTATTTTAACTAGTGTGGGAGAATTGAGCCCAATCAAGTCTCCAGGTTTGTTCTTACTCAGAAAAATTTTAAGATTTTTCAGTTAGTGTATTATTACACAGAAAGTTTATATTTTCTTCTAATTACTTTTGTTGATACCTGGATAGATAAATTCATCCTTTATGCTAAATTTTAAGGTAAGAGAATAGCCAATAATGTACTTCTTTGTTAAATAAATCTTTCTGGGTTGATACTGCCTTCAGAAGCAAATACAGAATAACCACAGAGTTTGATCAGAACTAACGTTATGTGGTCCTCTGAATTAATTATATTTGTCTTAACTTTCTTCTATGTATATCTTGAAAGAGAAACCTTTGTGAAAAATTTTACAAGTTAAACTACTAAATTGAAGATCAGTTATGCATTTCTTTTTTTCTTCTTCTTTTATTTAATTTTAATTTTTTTTTTTTTTTTTTTTTTTTTAGTTTTCAGCAGACACAACATCTTTGTATGTGGTGCGGAGGATCGAACCCGGGCTGCACGCATGCCAGGCGAGCACACTACTGCTTGAGCCACATCCCCAGCCCTGCATTTCTTGTAAATAGCTCACATACAACTTTTCATCAAGCCATCCACCAACAACAGTGAAATAAAACTAATTTTTGAAAAGACGTCTTCTGGGCTGAGGATATAGCTCAGTTGGTAGAGTGCTTGCCTCGAATGCACAAAGCCCTGGATTTAATGCCCAGCAACACACACACACACACACACACACACACACACACACACACGTACACACACACACACACGTATGAAAAGATAGTTCTTCAACTGGTTTTTACTCTGTCCCTCGCAAAAATTAGTTTAGGCTTTGAATATTATGTCTTTTATCATAACCGGCTTCTTGGTATTCTGATTTGTTCATTTCATCAAAGTTGTAAGTGGTTTATTTTGTACTATATTACTTAAAAGCAACTATCATCAGAATGTATAACAAAAGCAAGTAGTAGCAAACTTCTCTTCCAACCCCATCTTTTGACTCCCTTTAGGTTCTTCCACAGATCTTTCATCAGTGTTCTCAATTTGGGTTAGACGTTAGAATCACCTGAAGAGCTTTAATGATCAATAACATTTGGGACCCACCCCAGGTTCAGATGTTAAATTACTGAGATTGAGTGTAGTCTGGCCATTGTGAGGTTTAAAATCTGTAGTTAAGAACCACTGCCTCTCCTTGTGAGATACCTGCCTTCCCACATCAGGAACCTTTTCTAGCCATTTTTGCAGTTAGTACAGCTTTTACTATCAAATTAATGTTTTCATTAATATTCTTGCAACTTCTTAATTCTTTCCAAATGAAACAAAACAGGAGATACTTTGCAAAGGAAGAAATCTTTTAAGCTAATTTTTGTTAACCAGTCAATCATTGTATTTCATGTAAATTAGAAATATAGTTGTGCAATACAATGACTGAAATATGTAAAAATGTGGCAGATAGTGATTTGGTCTATTACTTTGCCAAGGACCAGCAGCCAAAAGATTTTTTATACCATTTTTTCCCTAAATCTACCTGCTGTCTATAGCTTTTGTTAATAATGTTTCTGTGACATGTTTATACTACGTGTTTATTCCATGGCTTAACAGGGAGTTCAAGTTTATCGGCCTTAAATTCTACCATTATTTTTCTAAGGTGCCCTGAGATGAGGAAAACCTTTTTTGTACCAATGGAAAAACTTAAGTTCTGAGACAATTACTGTAGCATCTTATAGCTACAGATCTAGTTTGTTGTTGTTGTTGTTATTGTTTTTTTGCTCAATCAGGAAATGAGAAGTGGAAACTGATTCTGATAGGGTAAGTCTTAGGAAGAAGTCAAATGGCAGTGATGGTATTTTGTTCAGAAAGAAAATTAGCTGATAAAATTAGTCTTAGTAATGCATTATAGAATCTTACCTAGAACTGCTTCTTTCAGAATCAATAGAGCAGGAGTTTTTTTTTTTTTTCCTCTTTCTTAATTGGTTTCAGTTGTTTGACTATTAATAAGAGATGAGTTTTTTTTATGATAAAACACTGCTCTGGCAATTACAGTTTTTATTTCAGTCTTTATTCACTTAAAGTGAAGAATAAACTACAATATTTTTCTTCTTATGTTCTAACAGGCACCAGAAGTAATCAGAATGCAAGATAAAAATCCGTACAGCTTTCAGTCAGATGTATATGCATTTGGGATTGTTCTGTATGAATTGATGACTGGACAGTTACCTTATTCAAACATCAACAACAGGGACCAGGTAAATATTTACCATCTCTTGGGGATTTATTTTAGTTTTTGTGTAAAAGCTCAGGTTAGCTATAGAAAGGAAGTATTGAGTTCTGGGTAAGCCTGAAGGATAGCTCTCTTGATCTTGGTGACCAGTTTTAGAAATCTTCTGTGCACTTTTGGCATAATAGCAGCATGTACTAAGACTTTTTCTCTGAAATGCTGGTACAGTGGAGTGAAGTTCCTGATTTTGTAACTGAAAACTAGAGACACAACAGTAGATAATACTGAATGTTTCTTAACCAGAGCTCAAGTAGAAGAATGAGCTCTGCAGCATTAATACTTAGGTGTTAAGCCTTTTACTCTTTGAGGATTGTGCCATCGGAGTGGGTACTTGACCATGAATGTCTTTGTATTGAATTTTTTTTTAATTAAGATTTTTTTTAATTTTTAAAATCATGGAAGCAATGTTAAATCATGCTTTGAGTTTTCTATAATGAGAAGTCTAGTAAGAGGGGATTTTTTTTTTTTTAACTTTTCTTCCTAAGTTACTGTTCTCTATCCCTTACCTTCTGAAAAGTACCAATACAGGTTCATGTAGCTCTTTGCATTTTCTGTCTTTTCACAATAAATTCATGTAGGCTTTTAAAACTAAGCAAGAAAAGTGAATTGTCTTTACTGAAACTGTCTTGGATACCTTAGCATTTAAATAGTATGTGTAAGGAGACAGAGATTCCAGCATTCACTGTTAATATATTAGAAAATAAGAGTTGACAATGTAAACTGTAATTTGAAAATATTTAGACTTTTTGCTATGGTTTGCATCAGAATTACCTGAGAAATTGCTTATAAGTGGAGACACCAGAGCAGATTCTGAGTGCTTGGTGGATGGTTCAAGTACCCGTTTTTATGCTTCCCAGGTGATTCTGACTTATACCAATGTTGAGAATCCCCAACCAGAGAATGAAAACAAAAAAGTATAAACTTTTTACATATTTTATCATGACTTCCCAACCTAATGAAATGATAGATTTTATATATGAAAGTGATATATTTATTTTGGTCAGTAGCTCAACTCTCTTTTTGATGGTAGCTTTTTCATTTAACTATCATGTGGTAACATAGAAGTAATCCAACTTACCCTGAACTTTAGGGCTTCCTATTGAATCACTGTATCTTCTATAGCCAGTGGGGGTCTTGATTCTTGCTTTGAGCATTTAAAAAAATGATTGCATTTCTATCCAGTTCATCATAAAGCTGAATTTGTAATTGCTGTTTTGTCTTTCTAATCATTTCATTAGCTTTAGAATGTTGAGTCTTAGTTTTGAGAGTTAAACAGTACAGAACTTCTGTTTTGATGATCTTATGTCAAGCCTGCATGAAACTTAAATTGGGGGTGTGTGCAAAATACTAGCTAAAGAACACAATTGAAACACTATACTTAACTGTACTTATGACAGATATAGATCATTGAGATGATTGATTGGATGATGGCAGTCTGATTAGCAAAATTTGAAAGCATCATGTGCTCTGTCTTTTACAAATGTAATTCAAGCATACAACAGCATAACACTCTGTGCCATGTTCACTTTTCCTATGGGTATTATTATTCCAAAGGAGTTACTAAGGATTTTTAGTTTAGTTTTAGCTGATTGATCATATAGACTACAAATTAATAAAAATTTGTGAACTTAAAATCTGTCAGTTTATTTTAATATAATTATAATATGGAAACAAATATTACTATCTCCAAAATATGGATAAAAGCATCCCAGAGTTCTGCACTCATCCACTTCTTGGCATTTTAGGTGCTTTGTCCTCCATGGGAGTATAATAAATGATGTGGCAAGGGCTTACTCTCCATGAGAGAAGTGAGTGAGTGACCAGCAGAAGGGTAAGGCCTTTACTAGTTAATTCTTTCTAGTACTATAGTTAGAGCCCCTGGAATTTGCCAGCCAGAAACCAAGTTAAGTATTTGCTAAAGGAGGTAGAGGTAAAAGAATGACATACTCTTCCCACTACCCCCATTCTACTTCATTATCCTGTAGCCTACTTTCTTCACATGGTACTTTCCATGGAACTCCCCATTTTGAAAGAATAATTCTGGTCATTCTCAGTGAAGTAACCCCAGATTGCTCCATTCATCTTCTTGATTTGAATTTTCTTTCACTTTCTCTTGAGTTCCATGGCTCTCAGATTAGACTTCTGTTTGAGAATCCAGGAATAATATTCTTTCTTTTTCATAGGAGATGGAACAACTGTTTCTTTACTATGCAGTGTAGGTACCATTCCTCTACACTTTCACCCCATAGTCTGAGGTGGCAGGTTGTTTCTTTAAACTGAGAGCAGAGCTGGGGTAAAGCAGTGTGATACATTGGCAGGCATGGCCTCAAGACCTGTGTTACCTGGTCATCTTACCTCTCTATGTGTCCTTTTTTTTTTCCCAGTTATGAAAATCAGATCTAAAAATCAGATTATTTATGAAAGTAAATCTTTTAGCTCTCTGAGAGATGACCATTTCTGTTACTTTGCAAAGTAGTATATCATTTCTCCTTTACTTTTCTCAGTGCTGATTCTGAGAAATCACTTTTTCTCTCATTTGTTTTATTCTATCATTTCATTTTCCTCTCTAATCTCCCTCTTTTTCCCTCTTTAATCCTCTACTAAATGGGGATTAATAATAATGGGCTTATCTAAGCTAAGAATATTGACTATATCCTCATGGCTTTCTTTTCTTGGAACAGAAATATTGTGTATTTTTAGAAGAAAATAATAGATAACATATGTCAGTTATTTTAAGTATATTCCAGTTATTGGTGTATAACAAACCATCCAGAATGTAGTGTCTCAAATGAATCTACAATCAGGCTGCTCCCAGTAAGGAAGATTTATCTGTTTAACATGGTATCGGCTAGAACAATGTGACTGGATGTTAAGAAGATCTGCTTCCAAATTGGCTCATTCACATACCTGACAAGTTGGCAGTAGCTGTCAGCTGGGAACTCAGTCAAGGCCATGGACTAGGGAACCCAATTCTTCACATAGGACTTTCCATAGTCCTTTCCATAGGACTTCTTCAGGCTGCTTGTTCTTTCTCACAGCAAATTGCCTAGGTTCTAAGCATAGGCTCTCAAGAAACAGGAAATGATAAGTTCCAGTATCTTAATTAATACACAAATTATTTTAACAGAAAAGGTTTTTTAACATCTACTACATATAAAGCACTGTGGAATATAGAGACATTCAAAGATGAATAAAGCACAGTCTGAGCTACCAATGGAATGTAGAGTTCTATTGAGGCAATATATGGGGTGATGTTGAAAATGAGGGGATGAAGGGGAGGGTGTCAGAGTACTGAATGTGTATTCCAAATAAGAACCAGTCCCAGATTTCAAGCTAATGTATAGATTTTGTGCATATGTACCCAACGAATTTTCTCAAATTATATCCCGGAAAAGACTTGTCCTTTCGCTTTCCTGCTGTTTCATCATCACTGAGCTCCCCAACCCCAGTAGCAAAGGTCACCTGCCCTGTACTCCACAGAAACTACAACAGTGAGGCATGTAAAAATGTAAGAGTTGTCTTTGATTTCTTTCTCACATTCTTTCTGAAAATCAGGTTTTTGAAAAATTTTGCATCTCTGTGAATGCTTTTAAATTAGCATCTAAAGGGCTGGGGGTATAGCTCAGTTGGAAGAATGCTTGTCTCTCAAGCCCAAGGCCCTGGGTTCAATCCTCAGCACCAAAAAAATAAAAAATAAATAAATTAGCATCTAAGAAATTTTACCTTAAGCTTGAGTAATTGCTAAGAATATAATTTTCTATTCAGTTAACATTTAAAATAAGGCTGGTATAACTAACTCCCTCTTTTTAAAGTTTTTTGTTTTGTTGTTGTACTGGGGATTAAACCCAGGGACACTTTACCACTGAGCTACATCCCCAGCCCTTTTTTCTTTTTTAATTTTTGACAGGGTCTCACTAAGTTGCTTAGGACCTCACCAAATTGCTGAAGCTGGCCTCAAACTTGTGATTCTTCTATCTCAACATCCTGAGTTGCTAGGATTACAAGCATGAGCCACCATACCTATCTACAATGCTTTTAAAAATGTATCTAGGGTAGAATGTATCAGTGGTATAACACTTGCCCAGCATGCTAAGGCCCTGGATTTGATCCCCAGCACCCCCAAAAAATAAAAATATCTAGTAAAATCTAAAAACCATAATAATTTGATATACTATCACTTATTTTAAAAAATATGATAGCTCTATGTTAATTTTTGAGGTAGGACATGATTCCTTTTTTTTCCCCAAAACTATTTGTAGTATTCTGTTTCACTCTCCACATAATTCTGTCCTAATGTAACACATTTCTTTTTTTTTTTTTAAAGAGAGAGTGAGAGAGAGAGAGAGAGAGAATTTTCAATATTTATTTTTTAGTTCTTGGTGGACACAACATCTTTGTTGGTATGTGGTGCTGAGGATCGAACCCGGGCCGCACGCATGCCAGGCGAGCGCGCTACCTCTTGAGCCACATCCCCAGCCCCTAATGTAACACATTTCTATGCTTTAAAGCTTTTTAGTGATTATTCAAGTTACATATTTACAATAAAAAATATGGCTATAAGTTTAAACTTAGAATGTTTAAAATTTTTTCTGTTTTGGGTTGTTGATTTCTTAAAAATTCTGAATTATGCCATTGTTTCAATTTTTAATATATAACTGATAAAAATAATGTAAGTTTTGATTAATAGAGAGACAATATAAAATTTTATTGAAATGTCTATCTTAATAAATAACACTGGGCTTTTGTTTATCCTTCAGTTGATTTATATATCTGTAGGTAAATATGATTTTTTGGTAGATGAGCCAAGGCTTAATATTAATCTTTTTTCCTTATTGTATTTTTAAAAAGGTAAATATTGAGAAATCTTATTAAGATAGGAAAGGTAGCAGTTTTATATAGCCATATGCAGAGTTTCATAGTCCCCAAGACCAAAAGGACTCACTGAAAATTCTCTGAAGTCTGTTGTACTCACGGTTACAATTTATTCCAGTGAAGGAATGCAGATTAAAATCAGAAGGGAAAAGATAAATGGAACAGAGTCGAAAAACATGTCTCAAGTGAAACTTCCAGTTATCTTCTTCCCATGGAGTTGTGGACAGTACTAAATTTCCTGGTAGTGGTATATTACAGTACACATTGTATATTGCCAACCAGGGAAACTTCCTGGGCCTTGGAGTCTAGAGGTTTTATTAGGACTTGGTTTTATAGGTGTGTAGCTGACTCTTGTGTAGTTGACCTCAGTTTCCAGCTCCTTCAAGGGTCATGCTGATACTAAATGATCCAAAGACCCCTCTGTAAGTCATATTGTTAGCATAGACATCTGACATGGCCCAGAGTCCCCAGAAAAACAGGACAAAACATCCCCCTGGGCTTAGTGATTACTTCCCAAGAGCAAAGCACAAAGACCAGTCCTCTCTGTCTCTGAGTACACCATATCACTCAATTACTTGAATTCATTCCTAGATTATGCCAAAAATTATATAGTAATTTTTGGGGGATGGGAGAGTACTGGGGATTGAACCCAGTGGTGCTTAACCACTGAGCCACATCCCCAGCCCTTTTTCATGTTTTTATTAGAGACACAGAGTCTCACTGAATTGTTTAGTGCCTTGCCAAATTGCTAAGGCTGGCTTTGAACTTGCAATCCTCCTACCTCAGTCTCCTGAGCCCCTGGGATTACACCACCACACCCAGATATTATATAGTAACTTCTTAAAAATTATTTTAATGATCACTTGACAGTTTTGTTGGAAACAAAGAATTGGAAACCAACTTTGGTGCAAAAGGGGATTATTATTTACTCATTAGAGCTAAGTTAGATAATAATTTTTGGGAATATCCCTTTCATTCCTCGATAGTTTTCACAATCTGGAATAATGCATACTATATATATAGTTAGATTCCATATGGGTAAAAAGTAAGCCTTTTTTAAAAGTAGAAGGACAGTTATGACAGACGAGAAAGGGGAAAGAGGATAAGATTTACACTTTTACCTGAATGAATAGTTCTTGGGCAAGTCAGTTATTTGAAAGGGACATAAGTAAGTTGATGAGGTAGAAATTAATTCCCTTAAAACTACCATGTGTGTTTAATTCTGGTAGAATCTTCATGTAGCCCCAGAGATCTTTACCCTAGTTTGAAGACTACAAATTATGACATGGCTAATCAGTTAGCACAAATTTGTCATTCACCTTAAGGAGTTGTTAACTTACACATTCAAAACCTGTTGTGTCCAGAGGATTATGTTAAATGTTAGAGGCTGAGGTAGTATAGATTTTTAAAAAGAAGAGAGTGGGGCATAGTGGCACATGCCTGTAACCCCAGCAGCTCAGGAGCAGCTCAGGCTTAGGCAGCAGGATCACTAGCTTGAGGACAGCCTCAGCAATTTAGCTAGACCCTCAACAACTTCACAAGACCTGTCTCAAAAATAAAAAATAAATAAGACTAGGGATGTAGCTTAGTGATAAAGCACCCCAGCGTTCAATACTCATTGCCAAATAAATAAATAAATAAATACAAATACAGAAGAAGATATGCATATATATGAGACACAATCCCTGCCTATAAGGACCTATAGTTTCATTGGGGAATTTACATTTTCACAAGATTAATAACCATCTGATGCAGTAAATAGTCATAACAGTTATTGGTAGAAAGGAGGGCATTATCATTTCTTGGTGTGAAAGGAAAGGTATGATGAGCAAGATTCAATTTTAGTTAGGCCTTCAATTCACCGGAATTTTACAGGAACCTGGGAAGGAGCTGAGGCCATATAAAACATGGTTAAAAGATTTCTATTGGGATGGTCTTATCCAGTTTGTTTGTTTGTTTGGTGCTGGAGATTGAACCCAAGGGCACTTTATATTGAGCTGCATCCCCAACCTTTTTTATTTTTGAGACAAGGTCTTGCTAAATTGCCCAGACTGATCTTGAGTTTGTGGCCATGCCCAGCTCCAAATTCTTATATAACTGCATTATCTTGGACAAGTTCTTAGATTTGTTTGAGCTTTGGGTTCCTAATTTGTAAAATAGGGTTAATACCTACCTTGTTAGAATTATTTTGAGTGTTAAATTCGATGACATCTATAATTCAAGTGTACCAAAGTTTTTTTTGGCCTTTCAGGGCTACCTTTTCCATTGATAGCCAAGTCAGCATATCTGAACTGCTGTCCTCTGTGAATGTAGGCAGTCCAGACTGTTTCTCAACTTTGAAGACCCCCTTGTTAAGTGCTTTACTTTTTCCTGGTTGTTGCTTGTAGTCACCTGTTGCTTCAAGATATTATTCCAAGTTCCTGCTAGGATTCTGAGTCTCTTTCCTCCATTAAAGTGATTATACATCCTGGATTCAGAAGAGGGCAAGATGGAAGAAATCTGTGTCCCCTCAATATGTCTTCCCAAGCTTCATCCTTTTAATTGTACCATAGAGATCACATTGCAATTAAAACTTTACTTTAGACTCATAAACAAGGGTCATTTGACACCAAACATTAACCTTGAATATATCTAAAATTCCATCAGCTCTGCCCAGAATGGGGGCTTTCTTACTAGTTTCCTCCACTCTAGCATCTATTCCAGCCCTCTGGGACCTGTTCCTTCTAAGATCAAAACTCCCTCTCTTCAGATCCTCTCTTCCCAGATTCCCAAGACTCCTAACATCTGTTTTCATCTACCCTCAAAAGAGCTGAAAGGCTTTACCTTCTCTTCTCATGAGAAGGAGCTGAGGCCATATAAACATGGTTAAAAGATTTCTATTGGGATGGAAGAGGCTGTGATTCTGAAGTCCTATAACCAAATGCCCCATTAGAGATTCCATAGCACTAGGGCAAATGATTGCTAAAAAGGTTAGCTTTTTGGTTCTTGCTACACATATGCAAAGGAATTAGCCTAATACCCAACAATTAAAAGTACTCAATAACCCTGTTTTGTTTTGTTTTGTTTTGTTTTTTGTTTTGCTTTTGTTGTTGTTTTTATTGTTGTTTTAGTACTGGGGATTGAACTCAGGGGCACCTGACCACTGAGCCACATTCCCCAGCCCTATTTTGTATTTTATTTAGAGACAGGGTCTCACTGAATTGCTTAGCACTTTGCAGTTGCTGAAGCTGGCTTTGAACTCACAATCCCTTCTGTCTCAGCCTCCCGAGCCACTAGGATTACAGGCGTGCACAGCTGCACCTGGCTCAGTAACCATTTTTTTTAAGGAAAGAAGAAACACTATCGGATCTGTGTGTTTCATAATAGTTACTGTCAGCGGGAACATACTACATAAGGAGAAACTAGCAGCACAGGAGTTAAGAGCCCTTTGAACAGCCCCAGGTCATGAAAATTTCAGATTGCAGCCCTTTGGGGATGGGTATTCCACAATCTCTGATATATAGGAACCCATATACTAGCATTGTTGGTTTCATCAAAGCATAAGATGTATTTAGAAAAGTACAAATGTCTTAAGTGTAGAGCTTATTGATTTTTCATTGTTTATATATTTTAACTTATATAAAAGATATGTGATTTACCTTTATTTTTCTCCAGATAATTTTCATGGTGGGACGAGGATACCTATCCCCAGATCTCAGTAAGGTACGGAGTAACTGTCCAAAAGCCATGAAGAGATTAATGGCAGAGTGCCTCAAAAAGAAAAGAGATGAAAGACCACTCTTTCCCCAAGTAAGAAAAAACTTTGTGCTAACTAAAAGAATAGCCTAACATTCAGAGGCAGATTTTCAAGCACTCCATGGAGCACACTGTTTGTTTCATAGGTTTAGATTCCATGTGATTATGTGCAGCCTCCAGACAGGTAAAAACACAAAGATGAGTTTGTGAAAATTGAGCATAAGTTTGGGCTCCCAACACAAACTTTCAGAAGGTCTTTGCATTTATCCAGCATTTCTCAAACTTTTTGGTCACAGATTCTTTTATACATTTAGAAATTATGAAAGACCCCAAAGAACTTTTGCTTATGTAAGTAATAATTACTCCAAACCAAAATCATTATTGAAAGAATAATGGTATTTACATTTTACATTCTTTTTCAAATGTCTTTAAAAAAAGAAAATAACTGGATTTTTTGCTTTTGCATTATGTTGCAGTATCTTACATTATATTGTTGCCTCTGAAAACTTGACTTGTAAAATGACAGTAAAAAGGCAAATAATATCTTAATATTGTTATGAAAATAGTTTTGACCAAAGGACCTTTTAGAGGCCTACACCTCATACTTTGTGAACTGATGCTTATTCTTCTTGATGGTAAAGAGGTTCCAAGTTTCCCTTTCATACGAGGTCTTTTTAAGGGACATGCCCACCAGGCGCACAAAGAAAAGGCAATGAATGCAGTCTTCTTTTCATGATTCTTTATAACTCTTCATTGCTTTTTTTTAATCTTTTCATGTTAATAATCTTTAATAAACCACACAAAGAGCCAATTTGGTGTCGCTTACTTGGGAGGCTGAGGTAGAAGAGATCACTTTAGCCTAGAGTCTGAGGCCAGCCTGGGCAACATGTCTAGACTCCACCTCACAAAAAATTAAGAAAGAAAAACAGGGGCTGGGGTTGTGGCTCAGCGGTAGAGCGCTTGCCTTGCACGCACAAGGCCCTGGGTTCGATCCTCAGTACCACATAAAAATAAATAAGTGAAATAAAGGTATTGTGTCAAACTATAACTAAAAAATAAATATTTTTTTAAAAAAAAAGAAAGGAAAAAAGAAATAAACATCACAAAGAACTGAAACTAAGGTAACAAGCTTAAAGCATTTAACTATAACAGATATTATAATATAAATGCAGCATTTTCTTATGCTTGGGAATTTCCTGATAACGCTGTCTAAATATACCCCATGACAAATCAGTTGTTTAGTGGGAAGTACTTGTAAAGAGCTATGTAATGTTTTGAACAACTTATAAAAGTGGGAAGTATAGACTTCCATAGTTAATCTGTTATCATAATTGCTGGGACATTCCTTTGTGGTTCTTATGCCTTTGAATGTCAGTCCTAACTAGAGTACTTAGATAAGTCACCATTACAGAAATGAGATTCACTCATCCTTCATTTTTTATCCCAAAATTTTTTCTTTTCTAAAGAATTAAAGAAGGGGCTGGGGTTGTGGTTCAGCGGTAGAGCGCTTGCTTAGCATGTGCGAGGCCCTGGGTTCGATCCTCAGCACCACATAAAAATAAAGGTATTGTATCCAACTACAACTAAAAAATAAATGTTTAAAAGAGAAAAAAAATTAAAGAAGGTAGAATTGATGGTTATAGCAAGTGTCAAGGGCTGCCCCAGAAAAGAAAGGGGAGGCTAAATGGTTAAATGGATAGATAAATGTTTTTATGTTCTATGACCCTACGTTGCTGTTACTTTAAGAAAGAGTTTTGAGATATTTTGCTTTGCTTTGCTTTGGCTTGGCATGGCTTGGCTTGGCTTGGCTTGGCTTGGCTTGGCTTTTAACTCAGAAAACATCTGGATGAAAGACAGTGTTTTTGAACATCAGCAGCTGGGTCAGTACCATGATCTTTTTTCACATCCCAGGTGCTAACATTTCTTACTTAAAGGGACAGAATTGTTCATACTTCTAAATATATCGTTTCATTCATTTAGTGGTATCAAAAATTGAAATGTGCATGTGAATATGAATTTTCTAGATTAGTGGAGGCTACTCCTTTAAGTACATTTAAATTTTCATTACAGGTTTGTTTTTGTTTAGTTTGTTGTTTTTCTGTGTGTTTGTATGTGTGTGTGCGTGTGTATGTTTTACTGGGAATCAACTCGGGGCATTCTGTCAATCCGTTATCATAAGTGCTGACAGATAACTGATCAACATCCTCAACCCTGTTATTTCTTTTGTTTGTTTTTTGAGTCAGGGTTTCCCCAGATTGCAGAGGCTGGCCATGAACTTGGTGATACTCCTGCCTCAGCTTCCCAAGTAGCTGGGATTACAGGCATGTGCTGCCACACACAGCTTGTTAGAGGTTCTTTTCTTTTCTTTTCTTTTTTTTGTGGTGCCGGGGGATTGAACCCACGGCCTTGCGCATGCAAGGCCAGCACTCTACCAACTGAGCTATATCCCCAGCCCCAGAGGTTATCTTTCTACACCATACAATTTTTCGCCACATAAATCCTAAATGGCTAAAGATCTATATGTAAAACAACTATAAAATATGAAATCATTTCTACAGTGTTGAAGAAGGAAAGGATTTCCTAAACAAGAGGCAAAGTTCGGAAATTATAAAGTTTAATATAGTATATATGCCTGCATTAAATATTTTTAATTTCTACAATAGTAAAAAATAATATTAAAATTTAAAGAGAAAAATATATTTTTTGATAGATTTAACCCAGGAGCTACATGCCCAACCCTTTTTTGTTTTTGTTTTTCACTTTGAGATATGGCCTCACTAAGTTGCTGAGGCTAGCCTTGAGGCAATCCTCCAAGCCACTGGGATTACAGGTATATGCCACTGCACCTGGCTAATTGTAGCATATATAACAAAGGTGAACATTTTACAAAATCAGTAAGTAAGACAGTCAAAAGATCTGGCCATGGTGGGACACACATGTAATCCCAGCAACTCAAGAGGCTGAGGCAGGAGGATCACAAATAGTAGAGTGCCCCTGAGTTTCATCCCTAGTAACACACACACACACACACACACACACACACACACACACAAGTCAGTAGAAAGAGGGCAAAGAATATCCAACACTGAGAACAATGTTGGGAGGTAGGAATTATTCTTTTAAGAATTTTTTTTGGGGGGGTGGGTACTGTGTAGTGAGAAAGTAAATTGTTCAGCTTGTGGGAAGTATTTGGTGTAGAATCCATAAATTTAAAATACTCTTAAAATCCTGTGCTATCAAACCGACTTCCATAAGTACTTGGGTATATATAAAAAAAGTTTACTATAATAGATTAAATTTGAAGACATAAAAATGAAAGTAACTTTATAGATGGTATGGATATTAATGAGGGTAAAAAGAAAACAATGAGGGAAAAAAATGTAGTATAAAAGGTGGTGAAGATGGGCTCTGTTTTTATATGTATATATTTATGTATAGGAAAGATCCAGAAGAAAGTATGATTATCCCTGGAGAATGGGATTTAAAGAACCTTATACTTTTTACTTTTTATGGTTGTTTACATTAATTCATTCACTTAGATACTAGTGATTGAGCCTAGAGGCACATTTACCACTGAGCTATATCCCTAGCTCCTTTTTTATTTTTTTTATTTTGTCACTGTGTCTCACAGTTGCTGAGTCTGGCCTTGAACTTTAAATCCTCCTGAGTAGCTGGAATTATAGACGTGCACTAATGTACCCAGCTTAAATTTTATTTACTTGCTTTAGAATTCAAAAATTTTTATAACATTGCTTATTTCTTTTCCTCCTTTTACTAGTCACTATAAAGATTATAGTTTGACTTAAAAAATAATATTGATAGTTCAGAACAGTAATAATAGTATTAATTATAATTTCTGCTAAAATTTCTTTGAGTACTTACTTTATGCCTGGCATTGTGCCAAGCCCTTTGTACACATCTCATGATTATAAACATGCATTATCATGCTGTATACTTTTATATCATGTTTCTTTTGAACCTTAAAATATGTGAATTTCTCTGCTTTGTATATTGTTATTTATTTGTAGACTTTCCCTGTCTTCACCATTCATTTGTCACTTCTCATTTATGAGACATACCACTAGCAGTCTAGGTCAGTGGGGTCTTATTTATATGTGTGTGAACCATTTCCCATTGCTGAGTTTCTTTAAAGGATAAGTTGCTCTGTTCTGTTTAGAGCTAGCCATGTAGTACTTACTTATATTTACTTATACTCTATCTTCTTTCCAAAAGGAACTTGTGGTCTGTGCCAAACAAATATAATTGGTTTTAAATTTTTTTATTATTTACTGTTCCAAGTTTGGCAAATGATCTAAAACATAAAGAAAAGCTCTTAATGGAGTTACTTTTCTCCATTCAGTTTACAGAAATAAAAGTTGTAGTATCGGGTGGTTTGTTTTGTTTTTTGTTAATTGCTTTTAGGGAAAAATACCAGCTTCTGTTTTTCTAGGCATTTATAATACTAAAAACAATGTAAGATTTCAGGTGCTTTCTTGTATGATGAGACTCTTAAAGATTTATGCCACCCAGGTTTTCATTCTGTTTTCTTTTTATTTGTTTGTTTTCTTTTTCCATAGATTCTCGCCTCTATTGAGCTGCTGGCCCGCTCATTGCCAAAAATTCACCGCAGTGCATCAGAACCCTCCTTGAATCGGGCTGGTTTCCAAACAGAGGACTTTAGTCTCTATGCTTGTGCTTCTCCAAAAACACCCATCCAGGCAGGGGGATATGGTGCGTTTCCTGTCCACTGAAACAGATTAAATGAGTGAGAAATTAAAGGAGGGTAGCAACAAAAAGAAAATAAATGGACATGTGTTTGCTTATATGTTATACTGAACAGGATATTCTTTTCTTTTTTAAGATGAGCCAAAGAACACTTGAGTGTTTAAACACTAGGTAAAATTTTTTCCCAATCTAAAATCCATACCCTAATATTGGATTTAACCATGTGTTTGTGTGTAAAAAACACACAAACATTACTAAAAACTGGCAGTGCCTCTTCCAGAGGCTTGATTTCCTGTTGTGAATTTGTTTTATTTTGTTGGTCATTCTAATTATTAAACTTCAGTTTTCTTATGCAGCTTTTGTTATTAACTGTCAATCATCATTAGGGATGCCAGAGGAGATGCATATTCACAGAGGGGAAGTTGACAATAGGTTAGCCTGTGTCAAACAGGGCAAACCAAAGCAGATCTAATTTAGGAAGTCACTAGAATTGAATAATCCTGTTCTTATTCTACTTAATATTTTTTATATAACTATTTCTTTTTACTACTTTGTAGAAAATTTGGATGTTTATCTCCTTAAAGCAAATGACTAAATTTCTTTTAATAAATTGTGGGTGTAAATGACCAACAATATTACTGAGGAGTGGCATGTTTGACATGAATAAAATGGTTTAATTTTGGAATTTTAGTGGGAATGGGTTATAAATTGGAATTCCTTTTAGATTAGTTTTCTGTATATATTAAGGATATCTTACATGAATAGAAGTCAAATTTCCTTACAATAAAAATGCATTGCCCCCTTTTTCTCATCTCCTTTTCCCAAAAATAACTTCACAGAATTTTCTAAGAACTTTAGGTAATTCTGGTTGCCACATAATCACGTAATGATTTCTTCTTTAAGTTGCTACTTTAGAATATACTTATCTCTTGTGATATATATTATAGCAATCACTTATCATTGTGTCTCATAAAATTTCTGTCCCCTTTATATCCTTTGTCCAGCAAGATTCTGCTCTTGATAAATGCTTGGTCTTCTCTTTTTTGCATTCCACAATATGAAATTCTTCTAATACTTAAATATTCTTGTGTAGAAAATGACTATAATGTGGCATTCATACAGTACTCTTCTACTGTGATTCAAAAGGAATCAAAAAGTAGGGAGGCAGTGTTGTTCTTATCAAAGATACTGCCAACTCTACTTATAGTCCTCTGAACAAAAGCTAAACTCTTAACTACATCTTTACTTACTCATTTTAGATTTGTGCTAATTTTTAAATACAGCCAGCAACTGAAAGTTATTTCAGCAGACAGACATCTGCATATCCTTCTTCAAAGTCAATAAAGAAAAAAACTAGGAAAATTGTAACTTAATTATAATTTAGTTTTTAAATACCAGAGACAAACTTCTGAAATACTTTACTTGCATAGTCAGATTTCATTCAGGAAAACCACTCATTAATAACTATGGCAGCTGGGGTTGTGGCTCAGTAGTAGAGTGCTTGCCTCACATGTGTAAGACACTGGGTTTGATTCTCAGCACCACATATAAATAAATAAAATATATGTCCATCAACAACGAAAAATAACTGTGGCATACCTTTTGGCCCTCATTTAACTTAAGATAGGCATTGTGCCAAGCCTGTAATACCAGTGGCTCAGGAGACTCAGGTAGGAGAATCATAAGTTCAAAGCCAATCTCAGCAATTTAGCAAGGCCCTAAGCGACTTAGTGAGACCCTTTCTCAAAATGAAAAATAAGGGCTAGGGATGTGGCTTAGTGGTTAAGCACCCCCTGGGTTCAATCCCTGGTACCAAGAAGAAAAAAGAATTAAAGAAAGGCATTGACATTATGACTTTATATATTGATTAGTGCCTTTCAAGATAGTAAAAAAGAACATTTTTTTTCATATTTAAAAAAATTAAGGGATAAAAGAATGTAACATGTTGCAAAACATCAAAGTTAATGATTTCTAAAACCTCCAGTGTCTCTAAAGATAGGAGGGGTAGTAGTTAGTAAAGTTGTATGTATTCACAAAAAGAATAGCAGGCACCTGGCTAACAAAATTTTCACAAAATTGACTTAGTCTTGGAGTGCTCAAAAGAGTTTGGGGAATTTTGAAATAAAGATCGGAGGGTTTTGTGTTTTTGTTTTTTGTTTTTCAGTGCTGGAGATCGACCCAGGCCCTTATGCATTTAAAGGATCTTTTTATTGATAGAACTCTTTGTATCATCTTCCATTATACCTGCCTTACTTATGTTTTCAGTTAAATTGATTTCTTTCTTTCTCCCCAACACTATCCAGCCCAGAAAACACTCCCACCACCCCAATCCCCGCCATCTGCATTTCTGTTCTTTTTTTTTTTTTTTTTTTTTTTTTTTTTTTTGCCAGTGAGCATTGCTAAGCCCTGTTGAGCTGCTTCGGAACTCATGCCCATAGACAGTGGAGCATCCCTCCAGAGGTTGCATAGTAATTTAATATCCCTTCCAAGTTTGGCCCACTAGATTAGTAGAAGAACCTGAAAAACACGGAAATATGACAAGTGAGATGTTTAGATCAGAGAATAGGAATCTTTAGAATTAAATCAGCTTCTCTTTCTGTTTGTTGTTATTTGTTTGTTTTATGCTGAGTTTTAGATACAGTCTCCAAAAAAGGAAAAACATAGGGGTTGAGGTTGTGGCTCAGCAGTAGAGCGCTCACCTAACACACTCGAGGCCCTGGGTTCAATCCTCAGCACCCCATAAAAGTAAATATATAAAATAAACGTGTTGTGTTCAACTAATACTAAATAATAAATATTTTTTTTAAAAAAGGAAAAACATAATTTTTTTCTAAGCATATGTAGAGCTACTCTTTCATTAGGTAATTGAAACAGGATGTTTGTTTTCTTGTGATTGATTACTTCTTTGCTAAGGCCTTGCCCTCAGATATTTTTTCAGTAAAATTGATTTCCTTCTTCAGAAGGCAAACTTGTTATAATATTTGCTTTACCTTTTAAAAGTTTTAAGAGTCAGTGATAAGAAATAAGATTTGTTTTGAGGTAAGTAGTTCAAAGACCATAGAATTTGCCAGGCACAGTGGCTCACGCTCATAATCCTGGCAGTTTGGGAGGCTGAAGCAGGAGGATAAAGAGTTTGAAGCCAGCCTCAGCAACTTAGTGAGGCTCTAAGCAACTTAGTGAGACCCTGTCTCTAAATAAAATACAAAATAGGGCTGGGGATGTGGCTCCGTGGTTAAGTGCCCCTGAATTCTATCTCTAGTAGCCCCCAACACCACCAAAAAAAAAAAAAAAAAATCACAGAATTTAATTAAATGCTTCATTCAGGTTAGTTTATTTTCAGGTATTATAATATTAGCCATTTAAATTATAAACCAGTTAAAATCATCCTAAAATGTAGCTATTTAACATACTAGCTTAAATGTCCTTTCTCTCAAATGGGTCATTCTCAAGAATATAGTCTGCCTTTTTAAAATTCTATGAAATGAATACTACCAGTTATAATCCTTTTTTGATTGAGAATTACTGAAGTATTAAGCATTTCTATAGCACTTTTCATTATATCATGTATATCACCTCACTTGTGCAGTTTCTTTATGAATTCAGGCAATGCAGGGTATCTATGCCAGAATGTTTCTTATCCTTTTGAAACTGCCTGAAAGATCATCACAAAAAGTTTACTCTGGTTTCAGTTGTCTCCTACATCTAAAGCAGTGATTGATTTGTATAAGGAACAACCTTTTAGATTTTTCATAGCATATTTTATCTTCAAGGAACTTTGTTAAATTGTGTGTATAATGACCATTGCAATACATTCAATTCTAGAATAGAGAATAATTGTTTATATTTTTAAATTAGTTAACAAAGTCCTTACCTTTCAAATAAATCATGTTATTTGAGGTATCTAAAAGCACAAGGTCTTGTTTTCTTAAAAGTCTTTCCAAGTAATTCTCTGCCCTGTTCCTATTTTCATCAAATAGAAAATTAAGCTTAGGTTATCCTCAACCAGAAAGAAGGAGAAAGAAAATGTTGTTTGTCTTTAATTTTTTTGATAAGTTCAGTTGATATAACAAGATTTTCAAAAAGTAGCAGATGTTTCACTTCAAATTACTTCACACAAGCAAAGTTGCCCCTGAATTCAAGTAATTGAGTAGGAGATAGAATCTAGAGATTCCCAGATATGCAAAAAGGAATTAGAGTAGATTTATTTTTCAAAAGCAGATTTCATCACCTGTTATTTCCATCTTTCCTTTAAAATTATTTGTGATTGCATGGATATTCATAGAGTTATTTTATTGCTTCCTAAACTGTAAGTTCTTTTTGTCCCCTCTACCCACTCACCCAGAATCTGATTATGAAAAAACTTCATTTGATTAGAAGTAGTAGACTTGGTAGGATATCTTTAGTGTTGTTTTACTCGCATGAAATTTGGAGTTTGTTGATAAGATGTTATTCTTTGGGGGTTGTTTTGTTCATTATTTTTAAGGCTAATATTTTAAGTTTGTGGAATAGGACAGTGCTCAACAAAATATTACCTAAATCTTATCTTCACATTGAATCGTGATGGTTACTACTCATATGAATATTGCAAGTCATTTTAAAGAAATTTATTAAAATACTAAAAATAACCTTAAAACCATAATGTACCCAAAAGTGAGCAATGATGGTGAGTATGTTTGTGTATTTCAAGTTTCTGTTAATATAATAGCTTCCTGTGATTGTGCTCTAAATCCTTCACTCTCCAAGGTCTTAGTAATTCAGCTCTTCATTTTAATCAGTGCCAAATTCCTTAATCCTTTTAACTTTAAGGTAATAATTCTTTTACCCTTCCCCATCTTCATTTTTGCAACACCATGGTTAATTGTTTAATAAAAGGAATCCCTGAATAGAAGTAAGGACTATCTGCTATTCAATAACTAGTTGAAATCAGTGTGGGAATACAAATTTTAATTATTAAAAATTGTTCAGGGGCTTGTTAATTGTTGAAAACCTGGGCTTTGGAGGCAGCACCTAGGTTAGCATTCCACAAGCATTCCACCATATTTATCTATCATATATACATATTTGGGTTCTTTCATATACTTCATCCATTTGGGGTTTTAAACTAGTGATGATGTTGCTAGTTTTGAAGTATATAACTAGTCACCTTTCAATGAGATTTAAATGAAGTTTTACTGTCTTGAGGTTATTTTAGATAACTATTTTAAAATTAGCTCTTGTTCCACAGAGTGATCTTGGTGGATAAGTTGCTTGACCACTCTAAACCTCAACTTGCTCATCTATAAAATGAAGACAATAATAAGGGTCTACCTCATAGGATTATTATGAGTGTCAGATGTAAATGTGTATAAAATGTTAAGTTGAGGCATCTGGCATATCTGGCATTCAAAACAGTTGCTAATATCATCAGCATACAAATCCCAGGGTTCAACCAGTCACCAGGGTACTAGGTAATATGCTCTGCATTAGGACATGCTGACATTCTCTGGCAACCAAGTAGAATCTAACAGCCACGAAAAAATGGATAGGTTCTTCCTAGATTAATAGTGTATTCATATAAGTGATTGCTTAGATCCTCCTCAGATACTGTTGTGCAAAAAATTATGTTATAGCAGACTAAATTCTAATAATTGTCAATTATTAACCAACTCCCAGAAATTAACTTTAGTATTACATAGTAACGAGAACTGGCCTTGAGTTTACAAGTATCAGATATAGACAGAATGTTAGATGAAAAATGATGCCATGAAACTATCACAGTGGCACACACCTGTAATCCCAGCTACTTAGGAGGCTGAAGCAGAAGGATCACAAGCTCAAGGCCAGTCTTGGCAACTCAGACCCAAAATAAAATAAAAAGGACTAGGGAGGGCTGTGATTGTGCCTCAGTGGTAGAGCCCATGCCTAGTATATGTGAGGCTCTGGGTTCATCCTAAGCATCACATATAAATAAATAAATAAATAAATTTGTCATGCCCATCTACAAGTAAAAGAAAAGTTTTTTTTAAAGAACCTGAAATTTCTTTTAAAAAGACTAGTGAGGGGCTGGGGATGTGGCTCAAGCGGTAGCGCGCTCGCCTGGCATGCGTGCGACCCGGGTTCGATCCTCAGCACCACATACCAACAAAGATGTTGTGTCCGCCGAGAACTAAAAAATAAATATTAAAAATTCTCTCTCTCTCTCTCTCTCTCTCTCTCTCTCTCTCTCTCTCTCTCTCTCTCTCTCTCTCTCTCTCTCTCTCTCTCTCTCTCCTCTCTCACTCTATCTTTAAAAAAAAAAAAAAAAAAGACTAGTGATGTTAGTTTAGTGGTAAAGAGCCCTGATTCAATACCCAGTACAAAAAATATTAATAATTCCAGGAAGCTTCCAAATTTGTCAAGCTTGAAGAAATATAGTACCTCAAAGGGACTTTATGATTTAAAGAACTCTTTCTGCAGAGAATTAAGTTCAGTGAAAAGTGCCTAGGTTTAATTTTTTATAGTTGGAAAAAGAAAAATTAACTAGAAAATGGGAGGTCTGGACTTCCTCTCCTGTCAAATGTGTGATGTGGACAGATCATTAGACCTTTCAGTTGGTTTTACAAAATGAAGATAAAGGCTGGATTGTGGCTCAGTGGTAGCATGCTTGCCTAGCATGCGTGAGGCACTGGTTTTGATTCTCAGCACCACATATAAATAAATAAATAAAATAAAGGTCCATCAACAAATTTTTTAAAAATTTAATTTTTGTAGTTGTAGATGGACAGCATACCTTTATTTTATTTGCTTATTTTTGTATGCAATGCTGAGGATTGAACCCAGTGCCTCACATGTGCTAGGCTCTGCCACTGAGCCACAGCTCAGCCCAACAACTAAAAATTATTTTTATAAAAACAAGGATAATTTCTGCTCCTTCCTTATTATAGTGACTTTCATTATATATGTAATATGATAGATGAAAATGAGTTGATGATTTAGAGAAGTATTATGCAAGTTGACATTGCAATTGTGCAACCAATTTCTTTTGAAATTTTGTTTTGAAACTATTTTTAGCTTGATCTGAACCATAACATATCAAACCCAGCTGTGAAACTATCTGCAGACTTGATATTTTATTGATATAGCTGAACCATACTTCTCTATCATATATACATATTTGGATTCTTTCATATATTTCAGCCATTTGGGGTTTTAAACTAGTGATGATGATACTAGGTTTGTAGTATATAACTGGTCACCTTTCAATGAGATTTAAATGAAGTTTTACTACCTTGAGTTATTTTTAGATAACTATTTTAAAATTAGCTCTTGTCCTCCCTTACAGGAGAATTTGCAGCCTTCAAGTAGTCACACCATCATGGCAGCATCTACTCTTTATTTAAGTCTTGTGTTCGTACAGTTTGTTAACATCAAAACACAATTCTGTTCCTCAAACCTTTTTTTAAAGATATAAAATTTTCAATGCATAAGCTGGTATGGAACAGAATGGAGTTTCCTTTCCAACAAAAGAGGGAAGAATGTTTTAGGAACCAGAATTCTCTGCTGCCAGTGTTTCTTCTTCACCACAAATACCACGTGCATACGTCTGCCCACTCCCAGGAAGAAAGAGGAGAGACCCTGAATTCTGACCTTTTGATGGTCAGGCATGATGGAAAGAAACTGCTGCTACAGCTTGGGAGATTTGCTATGGAAGGTCTGCCAGTCAACTTTGCCCTTCTAACCACCAGATCAGTTTGTGGCTGATCATCTGATGGGGCAGTTTCAATCACCAAGCATCGTTCTCTTTCCTGTTCTGGGATTTTGTTGTGGAGCTCTTTCCCCTGGCTACCATCAGTTAATTTCTGAGGAATGGAACAAAAATGCAGCATCCCCTTCCTGTGTGGTATATGTTCAGTCCTTGACAAATTCTATCACAGTGAAGCTCTGTTTATTTGATTGGAGGTTGAGCAGTAAGGAGGAGTCTGGGAGCAGAGGAAAAGGGAATGCTGCATCTTCTTCCGGACCTCCCAGGTTCTAGCCTCTGGTTGCCTTGCTCCCTGGGGCTCTGCCTAACCATGCAGGCTGGACAGTGCTGGCACATACCGCCGCCTTTTCTCATTGGGTCCAGCAATGAAGATGAGAGTTGGGGACTTGTTTCCTCCACAATGTAGCAAATTCTCAGGAAAATACAGTCTATCTTCCTCTAAGCTCTTCCAGTCACTAAGTACTTATGTGGCTACTTTGTCCAGGGCCAAAATGCCATGGACAGTATCTGATTAAAAGCCTACAAAACTGCTTAATAACAGTTTTGAATGTGAGAAATTTATGTAATTAAATGTAAGGTACAGGTTTTAATTTCTGAGTTTCTTCTATTATATTTTTATTAAAAAGAAAATAATTTTCAGCTGTAATTGAATTGGAGTGAAATTATAGTTCCCACCAGAATTATATAGCCTGAAAACTGTATTTTTGTTACATAAACAACTTTTAAAGAAAGATCATTATCCTTTTCTCTACCTAAATATGGGGAGTCTTAGCATAATGACAAATATTTATAATTTTTAAATTAATGGTACTTGCTGGATCCACACTAACATCTTTGCTAATAATCTCATTGTTTCTTCCAATTGATTCCAACACTACATCCTACATCCACTTTCTAGTCTTTTACCTAGAATATGCAACCTGAAATAAAAATGGTGGTATCTGTATTCATTCTCCTCCTTCCTTTTTTCCCAAGCCTGGTCTTCAAAAGGTTGGATAATTTTGCAGCTGAGTTCCCCAAACAGAGAATAGGAAAATCTTAGGGATGTCAAGACTGAGGTAGGGTGTGTGAAGCCTACCATCAGTTGTTTTTATAGAAAGAGCTGCTGTGGTATTGAGAACCTAAATCTGTCTTATCTTTTCACAAATGGAAAATATAACCTAGTCATAGCTTCCCTTGACCTTTATTAAAGGGCAGATTATAAATCACCAAAGTAGCAAAGAAAGTGACCAGATGTATTAATAGCAAATAATCTCCTTAGAATCACTTATCAGGATTGAGGAATCCAAATTAAATGAGATGTACTTAGCCCAGATGAGTCATAGCCAAGGACCTGAAGGAAATTCCACAGGACTTATATCAGGGAACCAACCAGAAGTTAGTTAAATTTTTCAGATTATAATTCCTCTCCCACTATACTATATTTCATTAGATAAATTTTGCTAAAATATATTAATCAGAAGAAGGCCTATTGAAAATTTCATGGATTTAACAAAGGTTGTTCCAGTAAAATGGAATATATCCTAAGTTATTAACAGTTTTAACAATGATGTGTTTTTACTGGTTGTTTTTATTTATTTATTATTTTTTTTTATTGGTTTTGGGTTTTTTTGTTTGTTTTGTTTTGTTTTGTTTTGCAGTGCTGGGGATGGAACCCAAGCAAATGCTCTACCACTGAGCCACATCCCCAGTCAGTGAAATGAGCAGAGAAAATTTAGAAATCAAAAGGTGTCTTCTGTGCATATGATGCTGCCTCTTTCTGAAAAGCATTGTTTATTTGTCCTTTTTAAATATATCTCTATAGATGGTTGTAAATATGGCTATGTTCCCTTTACAAAGATTGGCTCAGAGCTTAGATCCTCTCTGGAGAGAGCAGGGCTTGAATCATAGATGTGTATGTGGGTCCTGCTGAGGAGCAGAGCCTGCTCTGTGTGCTGGGCCTGCAAGCGGGGCCACCTCAGCATCTGGGACAACTCCAGCACACTTAGGGAGGAAGCTTAGCATTCCAGTTTTCTGAATGAAATACAGGGTAATACTTTTTATCCTCCTTTCATTTTAAAGTAGATTGCTGTTTCATCTGAAAAGCTGATAAATGAAGCTGTGCCCAGAAACCAGGCTCAGGGTTTTGAGAGATTTTTTTATAGAGAACTTTAGAAATAAATAAAATGTTTAAACCTTCCTTTTCTTTATTCCCATCAAATCATAGTTTTTCACTTTAGTTTACAAATGGCGAAAAAAGGAGTTTCTTTTGGGGTTTTTTGTTTAATTTTTTATGTTTATACTGCAGAAAGACTTGTTGAGCGCCTAAGAAAATAGAAGGAAGAAACCCTTGTTTGTGCAAAGCACTTTATGAGTAATTTGTGGAGACAGTGTGTGGCTGCTTCACCCATCATCTTATAAGGCTGTAGCTGTCAAGTCTTGTCCATAAAGTGGTTGCAGTGCCTTCTGCGGGTGTTTCATTTTTGGTAGGAAGAATGAAGCCTTCTAAAAAATTTGAAAGCAACTATAAAAGATTGTTTTTAAATAATATAATATTTCTTATGGGTTTTTTTCCTTTATTATTAAACTAGGGTCTAGGACCCTGAAAATTGCCACTGAAATACTATTGACCCTCCAAAAAAAAAAAAAAAAAAACGTTTTATAGAAGGGGTTTGTGAATAAAAAAAAATCCAATGTGATCATTTGTACTTTCATGCACTTTAAAAGACTTTGTCAAGCTATCAAATTCTGGTTCCTGAACATCCCATCCCTGATTGTATTTGAGGTTTAGTAGGTCATACTGAGGCATCCTAGAAGCTGAAATTTCATATAAGTTATGTTTATGTTGGTATTAGAGAGGAAGAACTAAAAAGAAATAATTCCAGCCTTCAGCACTGTCAGCCCAAGACTTTGTAAACACCCTCATTCTTGTGTGGTGTGTCACAGCTCTTTATCACAGTGCGCTATCTTGTATCCATCAGGCACCGCTGGAGCTGCTGCACACCCCTCCTCAGACTCACCTGTCCCCACCTGCATACCCACCTCGCCAGGCTTTTGCAAATCTCTTCTAGCTGTAGTTTGAAACACATTGCAGGGTTCAGGTGACCTCTTCAAAAAAACTACCTCCTCAGGATGAGGTAATGAATAGTTATTTATCTTAAAATATGAAAAGTCAGGAGCTTTAGAACATGAAGATGATTTAAGATTTTAACTTTTGTGTGTACTTCTATTTGAGCACTCTCATTTTGTCCTAAAGGGCATTACTACATTTAAGCAGTGATACTGTAAAAAAAAAAAAAAAAAAAAAAAAATTGTAGTTCGAGTATCTGAATGTTGTTGGAAGTGGTGCCAGAATCTGTTTAGGGGTACGTTTCAGAATCTTAATCTGAAGTCAGTTGCATGGAGTTAAATAGTTAGGGTATCGCTTCACTACCAGTGATATGATCTTAGTTTTCAGTAGGCTCAGCAAGGTAGCACATCTTCATAATGAGTTAGCCACAGCTTTGTCATTTACACAGATACTCATGAGAGACTGCCCAGCCAAGAGGGTAGAGTGACTGCCCTTTATGCAAGATTCTCCTTTTTGTCCCAGTTGGAGTTTTTAATGCTAGAATATCAGATGTCAACTGTTAGGCCATAAACCACAGCCAGGACGGAAGGTTTACTGTGAGTAGGAATAGCAAGTAGCTTACAGGTCATACAGGGAAATGATGTAGGTGAGGCTCTAGAAAAATACCTTGACAATTTGCCAAATGATCTTACTGTGCCTTCATGATGCAATAAAAAAAAAAGCTAAAATTTTAGCAGAAATCAGTGATTTGTGAAGAGAGCAGCCACTCTGGTTTAACTCAGCTGTGTTAATATTTTTTAGAGTGCAATTTAGACTGCAAAGATAAATGCACTAAAGAGTTTATAGCCAAAATCACATTTAAAAAATGAGAAAACACAAGTAAATTTTCAGTGAACAAAATTATTTTTTTAAAGCACATAATCCCTAGTATAGTCAGATATATTTATCACATAGAGCAACTAGGTTGAAAATACAATTCAGTGACATTTCTAGAGAAACTTTTTTCTACTCCCATCAGTTCTTCAAAGCATGGAACTTTTATACAACAGAAATGTTTGACAGACATTTTAAGAAACTGCTGTAGTTTAGTGTTGAAGTACTGTAATGCTGGGCAGCAATCATGTATTAACCTAATGAGAAAGGAGAAATTAAAATAGAGTAAAGAATTTGATTTGATTAGTTTCCAGAGTACTGCTGCCAACTTAGACACTGAATTTTCAGAGTTTGAAATGTAACTCACCTCCCAGACTTGTCTGCAAAATGAAGCTGGACTGTGCTACTAATCCTGCTGTAGTGCATGGTGGGGGGCCAAGGAGGGCGATCTCTGGAGACCTCCTTTGTGAAGGGCCATTGGACATTGGAATTGTGAATGACCTAGCAGGTAGGTGTAAAACTGGACATACTTCATGGTGTGGTTCTTGTATCTTGTTTCATTCCTCACCACCCCCAAGAAAGCCAATGTATTGTCCCCAGCACATCCTTTAGCTGTTTGGCTGAAATACTGAAATGAATTACTAATGCCCAAGGAGGGCAGTAGCACCTCTGCCTGCAGAGGCAATGATTTGTAACTGACCAGAGGAGAGTAAAGTGACCAGTGCATTTGTGGTACATGTTTCTAGCTCTGGTAAAGGTAAATACTGGTAAGATGTTTGTTATATCAGTACACTTGACCATAAGCTTTTTTTTAAAGTAACTTTAGATATTTAAATTAAAATTCAGTCCTAATTGTTGTTCATTGTGAGAAGGATATTTAACAGTTCCTATTGGGTATTTTTGAAGTAGAAAAGGACAGCATCTGAAGTCCTAAAATCTTAAGGTAACAGGTAAAAAAAAAAAAAATACATGAGGACACTCAGTCACCACCTCAACAAAGTGATCAAAGTAGATCCTTTATTTCAGCACCCACAATTTCAACTAATTTAGTTTCATTAATTACTAAATCACTTTCAAAAAACATTTATTTAGCCGTTTTGACTAATTGTAATGATATAACCAGTTGTGCATGAGGACGAAGCCAGTGTATGATTTTTTGTGGTGCATTTTTTGGTAAGGAATTCTATAGATTGAAGTACTCTTTGAAAACAGAACTAAAATATATTTATTCATGTTAGTATCAAAAATTTTTTTGTGCAAACCATTTCCTTCTCCTGGCAGGCTGAGTACATGATCCAGCACCCACAACCACTGGTTCCCATTGATAGTGTAGATGCAGGGGAGTCGGGCAAGAAACGCATGAAGAGGTGCATAAGGAAAGGGTCTGTTGACAGGCTGGAATGGGGTTATGAGTTGAGGGACTTCGTCATGTTTTGCTTTGAAAATCGCTCTCTTGCATTTATGTTAAGCTTTTGATCCCATGTGTCTTGGTGGGATGTGAGTTACATAAGAAACTGCAGAGTGTAGCCTAAGCAACAGGGTTACCAGACTAGGCACAGATGGAGAGAAAAGGGACCAAAATGGGGTGGGGTGGCAGTTCAGTCTGGGGAATAGGGAAAAATAATGTGAGGGTAAGAAATAAACTATAATTGCCAGAAATAAAATGTAAGAGTGCAATAAGTGTGCTTTTTATTCTAAGCTGTGAACGGTTTTTTAAAAAAATCATTCCTAATACATTCGCATATGTTCCATAGCTGATTAAAACCGGCTATGTAAACATATAATGCCTTTTTATTCATGTTAATTATCAACATAAGTGGCTAACCTTTATGTCTTATTTATCTTCATCTTATATTAGTTTACATGCCAGGGGGTGTGTGTGTGTGTGTGTGTGTGTGTGTGTATGTATGTATGTATTTGTGTGTCCTGTGCACGCATGTGTGTACTGTACCCTTTTTCTTTCTTCATTTGAAAATGAATTCATTGGGTCCTGTTTCCTTTGGCCATACCATATGGTATAGCCTTGTTTGGCCTTCTTGATGTTGCCTGATTTGAAAGACTTATCACAGTGATATTTGTGGTAACCCCATTTGTTGGGTATACATCTGATCCTTTGCTCATTCAGCAGTTGCTGCTGCTTCTTAAGATGGGATCATACAGCTGATCAGGGGATTGATTTGACCATTCATCATGCATTTTCTTTGGTAGTTGTGATTACTCTTTGGTTTAGACTAAGAAAAAGGAAATCCCCCCCCCCCCCTTTTCATGTGCTTCTTGGTTTGAGGACAAGTCTCCTGTAAGGGAGAAGAAAGGGAAATGCTTTGTGTTTAAACTGCAGTGAATTAACAACTCCTATTTCACCACCCCAAACCTTATGGTGGCTCACACATTCCTTTCTGTAATTGCCAGAGGTTTCGGTTTAGTTCACTTCAGTTCTGCTTAAGCATTATAAAAAGGCTCTCATGGAGTCTAGGGTGGCCCAGTAAAAAGGTGGGGACTTTTTCATTGTCCTCAGACTTCTCTATACCTGCTTTGCAAAAATTACAATGGAGTAACTATTTTTAAAGCTTATTTTTCAATTCATAAGAAAGAAATTTATTTTCAGTCAAATGGATGATGTTTCCCTCTTATCCTTAACCCTCAACGTTTGCTTGAACTTTTTTTTTTTTAAATTCTCTTCCATACCCACTTCCTGATACTTTGGTTCTCTTACCTGCTCAGGTCCCTTCATTTGTACTTTGGAGTTTTTCTCATGTAAATTTGTATAATGGAACATATTGTTCAGTTTGGATAGAAAGCATGGAGAATTTTTAAAAAGATAGCTGAAAATCAGATTGAAGAAATTTATTTCTGTGTAAAGTTATTTAAAAAACTCTGTATTATATAAAAGGCAAAAAAAGTTCTATGTATTTGATGTGAATATGCGAATACTGCTATAATAAAGATTGACTGCATGGAGAAGTCTTTTTCAAGATTATTTTTCTAGCACTTACATTGAATAACAAAATTAGTCAATGGTTTTGACACGTAGTTCTTGCAGGCAGTGGAGACTGAGAAATACAGACTTTGTTTCATACATAGTGTCATACTGCTTCGTGAATAGAAGCTAAAGTTGTCAAGCTTCCTGCATGCCACACTCTACGTGCTGTCCAACTTACATGTCTTACAGTGGTAACCAGTCTTTTATCAGGTGCTAGTGATGACCCTCAATTTGACAGTTTTGTAACCTTATGTTTCTTTAGTTTAAAATAAGCACTCTGTGTAATCACACAGTTCAAGTGTGTGCTTTAATTTGGTAAATTTAAAAATTAGTGTGTGGCCAGGCGTGTGTGGCCAGGCACAATGGCACACAATCCCAGTGATTCCAGGGCTGAGGCAGAAGAACAGCAAGTTCAAGGCCATCCTCAGCAATTTGGCAAGTCAGGCCCTGACTTAAAAAATTCAAAACAAGGGCTGGGGCTGTAGCTCAATGGTATAGCATCACTGCTTTCAATCACTAGAACCAAAAAAAGAAAAAATATATATAAATCTGTAGAAATTCACCTTCATATTTTTTTCCAAATGTTTTGACACAACTTGCACTTTCTACATTAACAGAATATGCACACAAACATGCACTCATGTTTTCAACTTCATTCTTTTAAATCATTTTAATAAGTTGATTTTATGCATTTGATTTCATGACCTGAATTTTGAAAAACACCTAAAATATCTTTAGACAAAAATATATAAAATCACCAGATAAGGTTTCCAAAAGAAAAGTCAACAGTTTTAAAACTTCACCTGGAAATCCTGAGAACAGTATGAAAGACAGATAATTCCCCAAAGGGGCACAGGTCTAAGAATCTGGTTTCAGATTTTCATACCCTTCATGCCCCTCCAATCCTAAGAATGCTATCAAGACATTATTTTCTCTGAACTAGTTTTCTCATATGAAAAATGCAATTCTTTAATCCAAATGTTAGAGAAACTAATTTTCTAAAAGAACTTCATTCGTGATTATGACAGTAATTTTGGCCTTTTTTATAAATATGTATTAGAAATTTCCATAAAATGTCCCAGAATAGTAAATTCTTCAGTTATTATAAAATGCTGTTACAGGAGCTAGGGCTGTAGCTCAGTGGTAGAGCACTTGCCTTGCACATGTGAGGCACTGGATTCAATCCTCAGCACCATATTTTAAAAAAATGTATTAATAATAATAAACTTTTTTTAGATGCCGTTACAAAGAACTGCTACATGAGCACTTCTGAAATTTTGTGAGGGGCTGTGATTATTCCATCTATTATTTGGGTTATGTAGTCTCCCCAACTCAAAATGTTAATGCAGAGTTATTAAAGATAATCTGGCCCATGTCCTCTCATATTAGGAACCATATGAAGTGCTGAAGGATACGCCTTGCCCAAGTTTGTGTAGCCAGGACACAAGATCAACATATATCGTTTTGTTATGATCATGATGGCAATGGGAACTTTGGATAGAAATGGGTGTTGACTCCAGGAACTAAGTTATGAACTGGAAGTGCTAGATGTACTCACTAGCCCCTGCCATCCTCAATAAGGTAAAGCCACTGATGCTGAGGCAGGTCACATGTGGCTTGGGTGGCTCCTGCTTCCTTGACACTGCTGGCCTGTGGACCATGGTGCTCCTGATGAGGTGGTGGGGGCAACAGTTGCTCCTTTCTATAGAATAGTGCTAAGGGCAAGCGGAACCAAGATGACCACTGTTACCTTCTGATAACATGCACATGACAGGTGTTCCTTATACAGCACCTCATCTCAGATGCCTGTGTTATTTATAAAGTTTCCATAGGCAAACAGTTACTAAAATTTGACACTTGATCCTCAGCTACTATCAGTAATGCTTTCACCAGCAAACTTTCAATTTATGCACATCTCTCCATCTACCAAGTCCACCCTGAAACTTACAGTGTACTTTTAGCTACTCATCAAGAAGAGAGAAACCACTCTTTTTTTTTTTTTAAAGAGAGAGTGAGAGAGGAGAGAGAGAGAGAGAAAGAGAGAATTTTTTAATATTTATTTTTTAGTTCTCGGCGGACACAACATCTTTGTTGGTATGTGGTGCTGAGGATCGAACCCGGGCCGCACGCATTCCAGGCGAGCGCGCTACCGCTTGAGCCACATCTCCAGCTCCCCCCCCCCCCAGAAACCACTCTTAATTCTGTTTGTTTTGCTTTGGTTTGTTTTTGGCAAGTGAGGAGTGGTATTACATCTGTTGAATATTTATTATTTAAGTCTGTTTTCATAATGGAGGGTTTCCTAAAAAAAATCAAACATTTCTTTGGGTTGTCACATAAATTTAGCTTAGTCTCAGGGGTCTAGAAATAATTACTTCCATTTAAGAGTACTTCTTTCATGCCAGGTGTAGTTCTAAGAGCTTTTACATACTCATTGAACCCATTTTACAAAGGAGATTCAGACAAGGTAAGTAATTTGCCCAAACTCACAGCAAATAAATGGTAGACTTAGGAGTCAGATCCAATAAGTTTAACTCCAAAGACTGGGTTCTCAAAAGCATTATGCCAGCTTTTCAAACTAAGTTGAGGCCCACTAGTGAGTAGTATAATCAGTTTAGGAGGTCTCAACCAGCCATTCTTTTTAAGTAGGTAGAAGAGAATAAAGCAAAATTAAGTGTGCATCATAGGTAAGTATTGTTTCATAAAACCTTTGAGAAATTTAAATTATAAGCATATTAATACATAAGGTAACATAAAATTAACTGTTAGATATAATAAAGTTTTATACCATGTTGTGCTGACTCAGATAATCCAGCTCCACCTAGAGCCAGCCAGCCAGGATTTGAACCTCAGCTCTCCCTCTAACTGCTGTGTGATTTGGCAAATTACCTAACCCATCCACCCCATAGCTCAATTTCTTCATCTTGTAAAATAGAAATAATAATGTGAGGATTTAATAAACTAACATAAAGTGTTTGCAAGAGTGTCTGGCCCACAGTAAGTCTTCAGTTATTTCCTTTATATACTGCCATCAAAATAATGTACTCAGGGTTGAGGGTGGGGTCGGGGCTCAGTGGTAGAGCACTTGCCTGGCACGTGTGGGGCACTGGGTTCAAACCCAAGCACTACATAAAAAAACTAAATAATGAACATCTACAAATAAAAATATTTTTTAAAAAATAATGTGCTTAACATCTCTTTTGCACCCACACACATTTAAGTATTTTCCCATATGCTATACAGCAAGATAGAGGCACAGTCCTCTGAAAAGGCAGGAACAATTTTTTAATATCAACTCAAATTGATTTCATAGCCCAAGCCTGGTAAATGAGACTTCTAGTATTTTTTTTTCAGTATTTTAACTGTAGATGGACATAATATTGTTATTTTTTTATGTAGCGCAGCGACTCAAAACCCAGTGCCTCACACATGCTAGGCAAGTGCTCTACCACTGAGCCACAACCCCAGCCCTCCAATATTCATTTTTTAAAAATTCTTTTATATGTATATTTTAGTTGTTGGTGGGCTTTATTTTCTTCATTTATTTATATGCATATTTATATGCTGAGATTATATATTATATTTATATGCTAAGAATCAAACCTAGTGCCTCACACATGTTGGGCAAGCACTTTAACACTGAGCCACAACCCCAGCCCATCTCCAGTATTCTTTTCAACAAAAGAATTATATTTTAAAAGTTATCTTTTAGTTCAAGTCAAGCAAATATGATTTTTTTAAAAATATTTATTCTTAAGTTTTAGGTGGATACATCTTTATTTTACATTTATGTGGTGCTGAGGATCCAACCCAGTGCCTCGTGCATGCTAGGTGAGTGCTCTACCACTGAGCCACAACCCCAGCCCCAAGCAATTCTGATTTCTAAGGAAAAGAACTAATGAGATTATCTATTGAGTTCACTGTTGTAGATTATATTCTTTCTCCAAAAGAACTTTATTAAGGGGAAGACAATAGTGAGACCTAAAATGTACGAAGTCCAGACATGATGGTGCACACCTGTAATCTCAGCAACTCCTAAAGCTGAGGCAGGAAGATCCAAGTTCAAGGCCAACTGGGCAACTTAGCAAGACCCTGTCTTGAGAAATAAAGGGCTGGGGGTGTAGCTCAGTGCCCCTGGGTTCCACTGAAAAATAGATTTTTAAAGTACAGAGGAACTTTTAAAAGTAAAGACCTAAACACTTTTGTGGGCTGAGACAGTCGCCCCTACACAAGTTGTCTGCAGCACCCTTGCAACAGGCCTAGGACTGTTGGAGCCGCCAATGGGGAAGGGGTCACTGTCCCATGCTGTTAATGTGCCCTCTCTGTAACAAGTGTAGAGAAGCAAAGGAGAAGGGGAAACCCAAGTACTATAAAATCAAGCTGAAAGTGATGGTGCACGCGTGTAATCCCTGGAGGATTATAAATCTAAGGCCAACCTCAGCAATTTAACAGATGCTTACAAAAATTAAAAAATAAAAAGGACTAATTGAACTTGGGTTCAATCCCAAGGTGAAAAAAAAAAAAAGAAAGCGCCAGGCATGGTGGCACACGCCTGTAATCCTAGCAACTCAGGAGGCTGAGGCAGAAAGATCGTGACTTCAAAGCCAGCCTCAGCAATTTAACAAGGCCCTAAGCAACTCAGTGAGAACTTGTCTCAAACCACACTGGACTTTGTCTCAAACACAGCTGCCACCATTTCACCCTAGATCTTGCTTCTGCTGCTCCTTGACCCTAACACACCTTTCCTTCAGGCTCTACTTGTTCAGCTCAAACATCTTCCCTGACCACCCACAAGAGCAGTACACCTACCTCACCCACTTCTAGCTTACCCAGTGATATTTCCTTCAAAGCACTTAGTAAATCTCATGCAGTTACTGATTTACTGCTTGTCTTCCCTTCCTAAAATTTAAGTTTTCTGAGAATGGAATCTTAGTTGTCTTATAGCACTGAATACCCAATGCCTAAATAGTCAAAAACTTTTAAAAACGAATAGTAGTGCTTCTGGGCAAGTCAACAAGCTATCCTATATTGAAAACTTTTTATCTGTGGATGAAGGAAAAGTCTGTCCCATCTATTCTCAGAATGCTGCAATGCTATAGAAAGTTGGAAAGTACTTTGAAACACATTTTAGCAAATCCTATTTCATCTTGTCTCCCACTCTTCTGGTCCTAAGAATTAAAAGAAGAGATTTAAGAGTCCTACAAAAGGCCACTCAACACAATGCCCAGCCCATAGGAGATACACAGGCAATAAATGGTCTATACTGACCCCTAACCTCTACTCTCAGGACAAGAATCCACCTGTAGTAGAGAAATGGTGGTCACATTACCTGCCCACATGCATGTGAAGAAGACGTTAGCTAAGGAGGAGGCAGTTCTGCCCTGCAGTTATGCATGAGCTGTAGAATCAGACCTTACCTCACCTTTACCAGGGTGCGATGCTCAGCAAGTAACTTCATCTCCCTGTTCCTTAATGTCCTACGTCACAGAACACCCAAGGGAATGAGCTGAAAGGACAGGCGAACCACTTAGCACAGCAGATGGGGCCCAGGAAATAAAAGGTAGTTGTCACTACCAGAGACACGATAATTCAATTCTTCGTTCTTGGCTAAATCACTTTATTTTTTTGTTTATTGTTTTTACAAATCACTTTAATATACAACTTTTAATGTACTCTATGAAGTCCATAATTTCTTGAAATTCTCACCTTGCTCCTGCAGGAAAACAAAAATGGAAAGTTTTAAGTACTTTTATACTTACTAATCAAAATCCACATTATACAAGCTCTGACCATGTGAGTAGCCTATAGAGGAAGAAGCAAAATCACAGTCTTTCAAAGGGTTTACATCCAGTCAACAACACAAAGTGTTAATGCAGGTGTGTAGAGGAATACTGGAACACTTGGGAGAACACGGAGATTAGTGTTAGCTGGGCACAGGCACATAGGTTACACAACTGAATCCCTGAGACTTGGAGGCTGAGGCAAGAGGATCTTAAGTTCAAAACCAGCCTCAGCAACTTAGGGAGATCCTGTCTCAAAATAAAAAGGGGCTGAGGTTGTAGCTCAGTGGTAGAGCGCTTGTCTACCATGTGTAAGGCACTGGATTCAATCCTCAGCACCACATAAAGATAAATAAAAGGTATTGTGTCATCTCAACTAAAAAATTTAAAAATAAAAAGTGCTAGGGATGTGGCTCAGTGGTTAAGTGCCCCAGGGCTCAATCCCCAGTACCAAAAAAAAAAGGTAAATGAGAATGTCAATGCCTGAGGGTTTGGAAGGGAAATGGGATTCTCCTAATACTTCCCTTCTTTCAGTAAAGAATGGAAAATGGTTCAGGATGGGGGTGGCTCTGTGGTAGAGCATTCGCCTACCACTTGTGAATTGAGGGCCAAGCTTCAATCCCCAGCATCGCAAAAAAAAATGAAAGGCCATAACCCTTTGTAGTTCAAACAATTTCCATATACTTAAATTCCACAGTTACAGACCCATATGCTGGATCTTTCCATTTAAATGGTGAGAAAAGGGAGGACACTGTTTTTGTTACTACATACCATAAATTCCCTGTCTTGTTTACTCACCACTGTATTCCTGGACCTGGCACAGAACTGTCTTTCTGTTGTGATTCTATGTTGGGGATTGAATCCAAGGCCTCACACAAGCAGAATTAATATACCTTTGATCAAATGGATAGATAAATGGGACCCTAAAACTGTAACCTTAAGGAAAACTAATTTTTTAAAATATATAATAAAAAGGAAAATAAGACCAAAAGGAGAAAGAGCACAGGTGAAAATAATTAAAGCAAAAATTAGATACATGACATGATTAACTGTGCTTCATGCTGCTAGAATATGCAGTTCCTTCAAGACCGTCAAAGGTACAAAATAAAAACAAATATTCATGACAAAAAGGTAAAGAATAACTTAGAAATAGGAACTTAGGGAATACTTACTTGGAAAGAGCTGAGTGTACACTTTCAGTCTTCATCATCAGGAGGGATACCTAATTCCTCATCTGTCCACTGGGAAGGATCTGGATATGTAAAATGACCCTAGTCACACCATTCAAAAGAAAAAGAAGTCAGGCATCTAAGCTAAATGTAACTAATTAAATTTCAAAAGAAATCTTGGAAGAAAAAAAAAAAAAAGGAGTAAGGCTTACTGCCATATATACAGCCCTTAAGTACCACAGGAACAAATTCTCCCTTAATTAACTGTTGGCCCAACTATTGTTTAATCTGTTCATCATGCACAGTGGCCTGAATTTTTAAGTCTCCCCATTATGGAGGCACCAGCCTAAACCAATTTGTGATAGAATACAGGAGGAAGTGGAGGCAACATATTTCAAAGATACTGCATATCTGGACAATGTCTTAAATATAAATGTTTCCAACTCCTATCATTCCTACTATGAGATCTGGGAGCCTCAGGTTGATGTCAGCATCGTCAATCCTCACCCAGAAACAAATCTGTCTGTATCATCTCATGATAGCAGCCAAGTATACTACTGACAACTGACCTACAATGAAACGGGTGTTTTAAACAGGAAATGTACTGCCAGTTCACCTAACCAGCTCTTTCAAAGAATTATTTTTAAGAGAAATGGAATATAAAGCAACCTGATATTTCCAAATTTGTATACCATTTAAGGTTTTTTCCTATCTTGAAAACAAACTCAAATGTACTAAAAGCCAAAGTACTCTGGATCCACAAGCACAGATTTCAGAAAAATTAACTCATATCCAGGCCATTCTAACTTGGCTGCCCTTGCCTCTGGAGAGACTGGAGAACACTAATAATCATTTAAGTATTTAATCTACCAATGAATCTGCAGTTTAGATGGTAAGAGAATTAATCTCATCTCCCTTCCAAATATGAAAACCTAACAAAAACCATAAGATGTGGACCACCAAAATGTACACGATCAGGTGAGGTCAAAAGGTAATGAGTTTCAGGCTGGGACTGTAGCTCAGTGGAAAAGCACTTGCCTAGCATGTGTCAGGCAGTGGGTTCAATTCTCAGCACCACATATAAATAAATAAAATAAAGGTCCACTGACATCTAAAAAATATTTTTAAAAAAGAGGGGGGCACAGTGTCACACACCAATAATCCCAGCGGCTCAAGAGGCTGAGGCAGGAAGACCATGAGTTCAAAGCCAACCTCAGCAATGGCAAGTTGCTAAAGCAACTCAGTGAGACCCTGTCTCTAAATAAAATACAAAACAGGGCTGTGGATGTGTTTCAGCAGCCCAGTGCAAGTTTCATTACCAATGGGATTCCTGCACACATGTGGACAACACAGTAGTGAAGGGAATATATTCACACAGGAAATAATGGTCTAGAAACAGAAAAACAAACTACACTGTTATCCTACCTTCCCTTCCCCTACTCAATAAAGGACAAGAAACTGCAGTCTCTGTACTTACCAGCACAGCATCTGAGTCATGCCAAAAGCGCCAGAGAATCCAGAACCACATGGTCGCACTGAAGAACTCACCCAGGATCACCTGGTATCTGGTCAGCTGGGGAAACTGCCTATACCGAGGCTCAATATGCACACCACCACCAGCACTAGCAGACAAAACCAAATGGGAAATGATTTGCTATGTTTTCTTGATACTTACTGGAAATTGACCCCAGCAGGACTCTACCACTCAGCCACATCCCAGCCCTTTTTATTTTGAGACAGTCTTGCTAAATTGGCAAGGATGGCCTCAAACTTGCAAATTCTCCTGCCTCAGCCTCCTAAATCTCTGGGATTCCAGGTGGGCACCACTGCACCTGGCTATATTTTCAAAGAAGTAAGCCGTCCAAAACCCTAAGTTACATCCTAGAAATTAAAGCTAACATTTCTTATCCCCTCCACCAAAGTACAGACAAAATGATAAAGGTTTGTAATCCCTTTCATTTAGCTTGCTTTAAATGTGCATAGCACACTATGACTGTTATGTTCCACATTAGATTAACTACTACACTGAAACAAACTAGATAAGACACTCTGAGCAACCTTCCAAATAAAAAAAACTATCACAGATGAAATTAAATATATAAGGTATAAATAATATATAAAATTCATATATATTCCCACCCCCCACCAATATCACTGACCAGGCACAAAATTCAAGGGCAATCCAAGTAAAAACAAAGCCTGGAAACTAGTCAAGTGCTGAAGCTGTCATTTACCAACTGTCCTAGAACCTCCACCCTAACAGCTACAGGACAAAAGAGGCAGACTGAGTGAGACCACCAAGACCAGCAGTCTAATTATTAGGCCCCATGGCAAAAGGGTGAATTAAAAATAAACCATGGAGAAGCCAGTCCTTAGGTAGATTTGCATCCGAATTCACACTACCAGGGTTGGCCTGTGGTCCCATAACCCAAGCTGAAAATGTAAAGTAATCTTGGATTGGCGGTGTCCTCAAGAGGCTACCAGAGGGGCTGGGGATGTGGCTCAAGCGGTAGTGCGCTCGCCTGGCATGCGTGCGGCCCGGGTTGGATCCTCAGCACCACATACAAACAAAGATGTTGTGTCCGCTGAAAACTGAAAAATAAATATTAAAAAAAAAAAGAGGCTACCAGAAGCAAGACCTCAAAGAATTCAAATAAAAGAGCATGTTCAAGGAAAACATGCTCACAACCAAAAAATACATCAAAGTAAGATACTATGAGTGAGTCCTGTAGGAAGGAAATAAATTGGGAAGAAATACCACCCCAAAAAATAACAGATCGAGCTGAAGATTCACGCCTGTAATCCCAGCAACTCCGGAGACTGAAGCAGGAGAACTGCAAGTTCAAGTCCAGCCTCATCCGCTTAGCTAGACCCTGTCTCAAAATAAAAAATAAAAAGGGCCGGAGCTGGGGTTGTTGTGGCTCAGGAGTAGAGCTCACCTAGCAGACGTGAAGCACTGGGTTCAAACCCCAGAGGCACCACATAAAAATGAAATAAAGATATTGTGCTCACCTACAACTAAAAAATAAACATTTAAAAAACAAAGGGCTGGGGATGTGGCTCAGTGTAAAGCGCCCCTCCGTTGAATCCCCAGTACAAAAAAAAAAAAAAAAGAAGCAGCAGCAAAACAGAATCGTTCCAACCTAGGATTTCTAAACGTCAAATTTAAAAAGCAAAAACGCCCTGTAGTCATGAGATTCACGATTTAGGGACATCCATCCATCAAGCCCTACTGTTTTCCGGCCTTAAGACCTGCGGCTGCCCAGGATTCCCTCCAGGGCTCCGTCGCCTCCCGCCGGACTCTCGGGCTGTCCCACCCCAGCCCCGGTTCTTTACCGCACGCGCCCCGCCCACGAACTCGGCCACCCGGGCGGACCACAAGACCCAGCGTGCCCCGCGCGGAGCCGCGTGCGCGCGCACCGCCCAACCTCCCGCCTCAAGGTGAGGGCGTCCAGACTCGGCACAGGCCGTCAGTGCCGGCGGAGCGCTCGCCCAGCGCCCCACACTCACTGGCGCACTCCGCTGCCTCCACCCGTCCGTGCGCAGCAAGCTCTGAAGAGGCGGCCTCCTCCGCGAGCGAAAGGCGCCAGTCGGGCCAGAGCCGACATGCTCCCAGCGTCCCGACAGCCGTCCCAGGCCGCCCGCCCTGCTTGCGTCACTTCCCCGGATCCCCGCCCCGTGGCGTCACGGGCCGTCCTAGGCCGCCGAGGGAGACGGAGTGCGGGGAGGCCAGATCCAGGCGTCAGCAAGGTACGGTTCAAAGAGCTCCTATCGGCGTCGGCGTAGGGAGGCTGCAGGCGAGCGGTTCCGGCCCGCCTGGGCGTGGGCTGGGCAGAGCCTGGAGACCTGTGACTCCCGCTGGGCGGGGAGCGTGGTCCGCTCTGCCTGGCCAGAGAAGCTCCACGCTCACTCTGAGCTAGGTCTCCGTGCCCTTGCCACTCTCCTGCTCCCCCTGCACTGTTCTCCGGACTCCTATCCATAGGACGTCTAGTGCCGCATCCTTGTGGATCCAGTGGTTCTTCCAAAGTATGAGTACGTAGACTGGTGGGATCAGAATCACTGAGACGCCCAGTCCCAGATACTCAGGATTAAGTCTGAGTAGGGCCAAGGAATCTACATCAAGAAGGCTCCTAATTCCTTAGTCCTTAGGATGAATCCATTGACATTAATATATTGGGGTGGGGGGGGAGTGAACCCTGGAGAGCTCTATCACTGAGCTGTAGCTGGCCTTTTTGTTATTTATTTTTTGAGACAGGATCTATTCTGGCCTCAAACTGCTTGAGCCTCTAGAGTCGCTGGGATTAAAAATCCGCACCCCCCACCGCGCGTGTTTCTGTCTCTTCATATTATCTTCTAGTCAATCGTGGATGGACCCCAAGCCTCTCTGGACTCCCCCCACCCCTAAATTCTTAAGGTCTCCCCAGATGGGTTGTAATTTCTCTCGGAACCTCCAGGCTTGCCTAAATTATAAAAAGCTGCCAACCTCACACTTCAGAGATTTCATTTTGAAATGATCTTGCTAAGTTCCACAGTATTTCACACTGAAAACTTAATGTAGTCACAAATACGAGAAATAAGATGCCTTTGAAGCAAAGTATGGACTTGAATTTGTGGATGTGACTGCATTGAATATGATACCATTTCTTCTGTGCCCAGAGAGGCGACTCATGTGTGCCTTTAAAATCTGTGTTCCCGGAGGTAAGGCCACATAAAACTGATTGCTGAACTGCCTCAGGCCCTTGTGAACAACTTTGGTTTGATCCTTCTTTGCCCCTTTTTTATTTTTATTTACTTGTTTATTTTGAGACAGAGTCTTAAACTTGCAGTTCTCCTGCCTCAGCCTCCCAAATCACTGGGATGGCAGGTACACACCACCACGCTCCACACTGCACGTCTTACTTTTACAGGTGCATTAATTAGAGAAAGGCATCCACTATTTGCTGGATGAAACTTGGTTTTCTGGTTTATTGCAATAGAATGGCTTTCTCTGGGCTACAACATTCATCGGTTACTCTTTCTAATGACATGTGCAAACCTCTGAAATAGTCCATGAATTGTGAGAAAGCTACATGGCTGCTTGGCTCCCAGCAAAGAGCAATGCTGTGTTTCCAAGGCCACAAAACAAACACAGCTAAATTTTAAAACATATAGCAACTGAGAGCTCGAAGATCTGGAGTGCAAACCTCAGCTCTGCCAATTAATTCTATGAATTTGGACATGTCACTTTTCCTCTCTGGGTGTCAACGCCCCTCATCTGCAAGTGAGTTATTTAAGCTACTACCTGGCTCAAACACATCAAAAATTTTCCTTCCTTTGTTATGTCTTCCTTTCCGAGTACTAAAGTAATTCAGTAGAACTCAAATTCATTCACCCTCTTCATCTTTCTTACTAAATTAAAAAAAAAAAAAACTCTTTAGACTTTAATGCTTGCTGTACTTAAAGCAATATATAGTTCAGGATCCACCAATGGTCTATAGATAGGTGGATACTTTTTTGCATCACTTTCTGTTTTTTTTAATATAAAGATTTTATGGTCTTAGCCAGATGTGGTGGTCAACAACTGTAATCCCAGAAACTCAGGAGGCTGAGGTTGAAAGGATCATAAATAAGGGCTAGGGGTGTAGCTCAAGGGTAAAGCAAACATGAGGCCCTGGTTTAATCCCTAGTCCTGGAAAAAAAAGAAAAAGTTTATGATCCCAGTCAATAAACTATCTTAACCATGAAACAGTGAAGCATATTTGTTTTCCAGACATGCTTTAAAAACTCCTAGGGCAAATATCCCTTCCTGCCTTACAGGGTACAGGAGAACCCCCTGTTTTGGTTGTCAGGTAAGCATAGTACTTGATAACCACATTTCAGCAGCTAAGAGAAGGGATGTCACACCCCGGCACAGAGCTTTCACCTTCTAAATGCAGATCAAATTCCAGTGTAACACACTAGGAGAACAGACACCTAACCATACAGCACCTAACCCCAGCCTTGGTCTGAGATGAGAAGGGATGAAAAGAAAGAAAAAAAATGTTGACAAAACTTGATGCTTTCACAATACCAGACCTTAAACTATAGTACAGAGCAATAGTAACAAAAATGGCATGGTAGTGGCACCAAAATAGACTGGTAAACCCTGGTACAGAATAGAGGACACAGAGACAAACCCACATAAGTATAATTATCTCATTAGACAAAGGTGCCAAAAACATTTTGGAGAAAAAATAACCTCCTTCAACAAATGGTTCTGGGATAACTGTTAAATCCATATGTAGCAAAATGAAATTAAACCCGTCTCACCATGTACAAAACTCAACTCAAAGTGAATAAAGGACCTAGGAATTAGAGCAGAGACCCTGCACCTAATAGAAGAAAAAGTAGGCCCCAATCTTCATCATATGGGATTAGGCCCCTACTTCCTTAACAAGACCCCTAAAGCACAAGAAATAAAATCAAGAATCAATTAATGGGATGATTTCAAACTGAAAAACTGCTTCTCAGCATGAGAAACAATCGGTGAGGTGAAGAGAGAGCCTACAGAATGGGAGCAAATTTTTACCTCACGCATCAGAGCACTAATCTCCAGGATATATAAAGAACTCAAAAAACACTAAAAAAATCAAATAACCCAATCAATAAGTGGGCTAAGGAGCTGAACAAACATTTCTCAGAAGATGATATACAATCAATCAACAAATACATGAAAAAATGTTCAACATCTCTAGCAATTAGAGAAATGCAAGTCAAAACTATCCTGAGGAAGATGGAGGGGAGGGGAAGGGGGATAGTAGGGGATAGGAAAGACAGCAGAATACAACAGTCACCAATATGGCATTATGTAAAAATGTGAATGTGTAACTGATGTGATTCTGCAATTTGTATTTGGGGTAAAAATGGGAGTTCATAACTCACTTGAATCAAATGTATGAAAGATGATATGTCATGAGCTTTGTAATGTTTTGAACAACCAATAAAAATA